TGGTGTTCTTTCCGGTTTCCTCTTAAACCAATTTCATGAAAGGGCACCAACTCCACTAAAACAACCATCGATGTCCCGAAGCCATCATGGCGTGGCACGGTTAAAGAGAACCCTCAAACGCACCCAGTGACTTCCCTGCCATGTTGGTCAACCGGCTCCGCGGTCGCTGCAGTCCCAGCCTTTGCCGGGCACTCGGCAAACCGTTCTTTGCTTTGGAGCCCCAACCGATTGCCTTGGTGGGGCCAGGGAACCAAAAGGTGGGACGGAGGTAACAAAAACAAAAAAAGGTTGCTCAACATGTCATCATGTGGACTGTTGTGTTGTGTGTGTGTGTGCTTGCTTGCTTGCTTGCTTGCTTGCTTGCTTGCTTGCTGGCTGGCTGGCTGGCTGGCTGGCTGGCTGGCTGGCTGGCTGGCTGGCTGGCTGGCTGGCTGGTTGGCTGGTTGGCTGGCTGGCTGGCTGGCTGGCTGGCTGGCTGGCTGGCTGGCTGGCTGGCTGGCTGGCTGGCTGGCTGGCTGGCTGGCTGGCTGGCTGGCTGGCTGGCTGGCTGGCTGGCTGGCTGGCTGGCTGGCTGGCTGGCTGGCTGGCTGGTTGGCTGGCTGGCTGGCTGGCTGGCTGGCTGGCTGGCTGGCTGGCTGGCTGGCTGGCTGGCTGGCTGGCTGGCTGGCTGGCTGGCTGGCTGGCTGGCTGGCTGGCTGGCTGGCTGGCTGGCTGGCTGGCTGGCTGGCTGGCTGGCTGGCTGGCTGGCTGGCTGGCTGGCTGGCTGGCTGGCTGGCTGGCTGGCTGGCTTGTGGATTACTAACTCCTTTACATATAGTACCTGAATGGTATTTCTTATGCCAATATGCTATGTTAAAAGCTGTGCCAAATAAAAATGCAGGATTCATTATCTTATTTACTTCTATCTTCATCTTATTTTACTTTATGAGAAGTCTCTCTTTTTCATTCTATTTTATAATATTTACATCTAGTAGATTTAATGTTTTTTATCTGTGCTTTTGGTTTCTGAATCTTTTTTCTTTTATTTGGATAGGTGGTCAATTTCCTGTAGACAACTTTCTATCTTATGGTCGTATCTTGACATGTAATTATTATTATCTTCTTATCTGTATCTTATTGTCTTTTTATATTTTTCTTTTACATATTAATTCTGTTGGTTCCCTTCGCTCACGGCTTGCTTGCTGGCTGGCTGGCTGGCTGGCTGGCTGGCTGGCTGGCTGGCTGGTTGGCTGGCTGGCTGGCTGGCTGGCTGGTTGGCTGGCTGGCTGGCTGGCTGGCTGGCTGGCTGGCTGGCTGGCTGGTTGGCTGGCTGGCTGGCTGGCTGGCTGGCTGGCTTGCTGGCTTGCTGGCTTGCTGGCTTGCTGGCTGGCTGGCTGGCTGGCTGGTTGGCTGGCTGGCTGGCTGGCTTGCTGGCTTGCTTGCTGGCTTGCTTGCTGGCTTGCTTGCTGGCTGGCTGGCTGGCTTGCTGGCTTGCTGGCTTGCTGGCTTGCTGGCTTGCTGGCTTGCTGGCTTGCTGGCTTGCTGGCTTGCTGGCTTGCTGGCTTGCTTGCTGGCTTGCTGGCTTGCTGGCTTGCTGGCTTGCTGGCTTGCTGGCTTGCTGGCTTGCTGGCTTGCTGGCTTGCTGGCTTGCTTGCTGGCTTGCTGGCTTGCTTGCTTGCTTGCTTGCTTGCTTGCTTGCTTGCTTGCTTGCTTGCTTGCTTGCTTGCTTGCTTGCTTGCTTGCTTGCTTGCTTGCTGTTTTATTTTTGTTTTTGTTTGCATGTTGCGTTAGCCCCTGATGCAAACCCGTCCGTCAGGTGCCCCATGGGCGCGCAGCTACGTCAAGAGGTCTCCGTTCACGGCGAGAGCGGCGTCCTCTGCGCCGCAGAAAGTTGATCCAGAAGTGCCTGGGACCTCATGGCCTGGTTCTCGGGAAGTCCAGCAGGGGATCCCAAGACAAAATCGCAGGGGATGGATAGGTCAGCTTGGGCTTGTTCCCTCACTGTTCTGCTGAGAATCAGCAACATGAGGTTTCGTCAAAGGGTCCTCCTTTGTCTATGGTTCATTTTGAGCAAGCCCATTTTGGCGGGGTCCGCGCGTGAGTTGTTCGAAGAATCCTGCCACGATGCCGTGACAAACAAAAGGGTGCATTGATTGTTGACCAGAATCTTCAGTATCACACTGTTTCATATTGTGATGACTCTGTTTGTCACATCAATGCCAGTTTCCCCATGCTTGGGAGAAAAAGGGAAGCCAAAAGGAAGCCAGCCATTTTGAAGGCCCCCATTTTAAGACACACGTTTGTGGCCATGAGAACGGGATGACAGCGCATTGCCACAGTAAAGGTCCCTGGCACTCGGGGCTATTGCCTTACCAATGTTGGGGGTTCTCAGAATAGGAATGGGTACCCCAAAATGGGCACGGTCTCCTTTTGATTTCCCTTCAACCAGCCATTTTGAGGGCTCGAATCACCATGTTGAGAAGCCCTCATAGAGTTTTACAAACATGGAAGGGCACAGACCCTTTACGGAAGGCGGTTTTCCTTTTAGAAAACGGACCAGTGTACTTCCATGCTTGTTGATGGCAGGGTATCCTTTTTGCAGCCAAGGAAAAGAAGACTGCAACACTTCCGCAGCTGTGGAAGATTCTCCGTCCTGAACGCGGCAGGTTACAGTGCCTGAGCTTGGAAAATGCCAATGGCGGGCAAAGACAGGTAAGGCTCGGTCAAAATGTCCTGTTTTGTCCTATAACCCATTTGGGGTTCTCGACACGTGGCTCTTGGCCCATTTCGGGTTCTTGACACGTGGGAGGACTCACTAGCTCTGGAGACGGGGGACTCACTCATTTGCTTGAGACTGTCATTGCCAGCCTTTTCATCTCCAATGGCACTTAGCTTGCACCCAGGCTGGCATTGGGAGCTTTGTGTGCATCTTCTTCTGTGAACTTGTCTGCAGCCTAGAAGGGTGCCCAAAGCCTGCGACGATCGACTGCCTGCTGGCTAGTGCTGCCTTGCTTTTTGCCACTGCAGATTCTTGTGTGCGGCGTGTCCGTTTGGTCATCGAGCTCCCTATTGGACTCACAGACATAGTGCATTGCTGCCGCCGCCAAAGGCACTGCTGAATGCCCAGGTCATACCCGTACCTCATGGGCCATCTCGTTGATCTCTTCGGCGAGGGCGATGGCGGACTTCAGTTCGTCATGGAGCATACTTGGCTCTGCGGGCTGGTGGTGGTGGCTGGGGGCTGCGCCACTTTTTGCAGGCTCTATCTCATTGAGACCGCCATTGAGCGAATCGCCTTCCGCCTGCGGCGGGAGTTCTTCGCAGCACTGATTCAGCGGCCAATCTCGTTTTTCGATAACAATAAGACTGGGGAGCTGGTGAATCGCCTTGGGAATGACATCACGATGACAAGCCGAGTCCTGATTGACGCTTCTGCTGGCATCAGAAGCTCCATCACTGCCGTTGTTGGCACCTGTGTCCTGCTGGCATTGCGAAGCCTTGCTTTGTACTGACATGGGTATGGGTCAAAATTTTAAAGCACCAGGGGACCGCAGGTATTAGTCCTTGGTTCCATTTACTAGGGTTCCAAAATGGATACCCATGTTTGACCCACAGCCACATGGGTTTTGCTGTTGACCTTGGTCTAAGGCATGATTTTCCAGCTAGCGCCAAGCGAGATGATTGCCGGGCTGCTGGCTCCAGTGGCCACGCTTTTCATCGTTGGCGTGGGCTACGGCCGCGTGGTGCGCCGCATTGCCGAGCGGCGCCAGCAGCGGCTGGCCGAGTCCGTGCAGAGGGCGGAGGAAAGGCTCGGCGGAATTCGGACGGTCCGAACCTTCAACGCGGAGAAAAGCGAAGTGGAAAGCTTTGAGAAGCTGCTGGATGCTGTGTATCAAGCGGGTTGGCAAAATGCCCTGGCTTGGGGTGGATTGTCCTCTTTCTTCGTGACAGGAGGAGGCTTGTTTCTAATCCACATCATCTACAATTGCGGGGTGATGGTCACAAGTGGCGTAGTCAGCGTTGGCACCACCGTGAGCCTGGCAATGTACTGCTTCATGGCCGGATCTTCTTACACTGGCATCATGACAGCCTACGGAGACTTGGTCTTTGCCACGGAGGATTTCCCCACTCACCAAACAGTTTCAGTTACCGACCATTGTGATGCGGGAAGCAAGCAGTTTCACTTTTTGCAAGGGGTCAGTCTAAGTGAAATTGCAGCAGTTCAGTCTGACCACAGGAGAATTTCTTAACCAACGTCGGTCTCGATTTTGTTTCGCGGATTGTTTGGGTGTGCATTACAGCCCGCCTTTTGCCAGTTAGTCTATGGTGCAGGGATCTCGCCCAAAAAGAAAGACCAAGGAGATATCCAGAAATGCCTGGGTTCCTCTCAGCGTGTTTTGGAGATCCTGGGCACCACAGATGCACATTCTCCTATGTCCGCAGCCGTGCCTGCGGTCTCCTCGCTGAAGCCGTTGGCGGTGAGTCTGCAAGATGTTAGCTTCGCTTATCCGACGAGGGACTCGCCGGTGCTACAGGTGCAAGACTTGTTGGCAGCAAAGACTTCCGGAAAGCCAACAGCAGGTTTAAACAGGTTGGTGATTTGAACCGTTGCATCAAACAGGAGCCGCAGGTCTCAAAAAAAGTGGTTCAATCCAGCCCATGGCCATCAACCCTTGCAGGGGCTGAATCTGGATATTCCCGCCGGATCCAGGGTGGCCTTGCTGGGACGGAGCGGCTCAGGCAAGTCTACCGTCGCCCTGCTGCTGGCAGGACTCTACCAGCCCTCTACGGGCAAAGTGCTGGTAGATGGTGAAGACATGTTCCTTGGTTTCCAGCTATTGTTATGAATATTAGCAGGGAATCCCCTCAAAAGTGGTTGATGGAATATGTATTACTCTTTTTGCGTGAGGGATTGACAAAAGGTCACCTTTTCGCGAGTGATCCTGGAATCAAGGTTTGCTGACGAAGCCAGAACCGCCTGGGTGCGCTCCCAGTTAGGTTTCATCAGCCAAGAGCCTATTCTATTTGCATTGACCATCAAAGAGAACGTGGAGTATGGCTTACAGGAGGTCGACGGCCGGGATGAGCGCATCAAAGAGGCAACGGCCGCAGCCAACGTCGATGACTTCGCCAATCATCTCCCTCTTGGCCTCGATACCCCATCAGGGGAGAGAGGTGGGGATGGCTCAAAATAGGGAGACAAGGGACCCCAAAATGACTTTGGTTTAAGCCAAGGTGAAAAGGGTACCTTCCACACAACGACTCAAAGTTGGAATTTAAACCCCCGGATATTTTGTGGTTTACCTTCAAACCAACCTCAAAGGGGTCGTTTTCGCCTTCAAAAACAAAAGCCAAGGTCAGGCATTGAGCGGGGGCCAAAAGCAGCGTGTATGCATCGCCCGGGCATTGGCGCGCAAGCCGAGAATGCTGGTCTTCGATGAGGCAACATCTGCCCTAGACCTCAGGTCCGAGCGCTTGGTACATGAGTCGCTGAAGCAAATCTTAGCTGCGGGGAAGTGCACCTGTTTGGTCATCACCCACAGGCTGCTTTGCCGCAGAGTTTGAAACTTGTTCGGCGGCTTCAAGCATTTGAAGAGTGCGAAGTGGTTGAACTCAGGATGAGTGCGCTACAATGGTGTGACCGAGTTGCAGTGGTCAGCCTCTCTTGTGTTCAAGCTGGATTCATATCAATGGGGAACTCAAACATTTGCTGAAACAGGACACAGACAAGCTTAGCCCTGTACCCATTGCCAGGTCCATGAAGGCCGTGTGGTGCAGTATGGCTTTTGGCTCAGCATGGTTGAGCAGCCTGCGAGTGGAGTGGGAGTAGGATTCGTTTAGGGTTGGGCCAGGGTTGGTTTAGGGTGATGCTGTTATGTCGCTGTGATGTCAGAGCAAGGACAATGACTATGTTTTGATGCAGGCAGTCAGGATCAAACACCCAGATGCGAGCTTCAATCCAGTATTTAGGTGTCTGCCTTGGCTTGCAATGAGGTGAGAAAGATGAGGTATTGGCGAATCCGAGTGATGCTTTGCAAAGTATTCTGAGAAACGATCAGGGTGTCACATTTGATTTGTAGTCCAATTCGATGCATCGTGTACTTGCTTTCCCCGGACTTATCCTGCTTATTTTAGCAGGACATGTTGCGTACTTGTCTGATGTGCGAATTTTCTGTCCAGCATCTTCCAGTGCACGAAATTGCAGAATTGGAATGTCTTCAGACCTTTGACGCAGACAGTTTTCAGCTGAGCGCCAGCAAAAAAGTTGCTCAATCAGCAGGTGCACCAATGTCTCCTGTGCGTGGCAGGTGTGTACGAACCAAGGAGAAGATGTGGACATTGCCTCCTCTAGTTGTCCGGAGCCTACAGATCTATGTTCGTACATTCGGCAGGCGCCCAAAATCCGCACTGGCCATGCTAGTAGCTGGTGTGTAGTAAAGCCTACTTAAATCTTTAGAGCTGTTAACAATAGAACCAAAAGTCAATTGGTGTTTGACGCTGCCGGATTCATGTCAACGAAGCCTCTTTGCAAGGAGGGCGTGCAAAGAAGCGCTGGAGAGCCTTTGAGCGCTGAAGATCATTTGCGGTTCCTGCTCGAAGCCCCGGACTCGGCTTTGTTTTGGCTGAACGCCTCAACGCGATTTGGGTGTGACTGAGGCCGAGTGGGCGCGACTGCAACGCCAAGAGGAGGCCCTGCGACTTGCAGGCCACGGAAGTGTGTGCAGCTTATGCCGGAGTGTCGAAGTGCGTGCAGCCTGGATGTACACACATTGTGCTGGGACAGTTCTGGAGCCTTGCCTAGCGCTGCGCAGGCCATACAAGTGAGCGCTCAGGTGTTGACACAAGTGTGGCGCAGTAAATTAGTTCGCCATTGCATTTGGTGCCAGCATTCTCACATGGGGGTCCGGTCAAGTTTCCAGTAGTCTGTGGTCCAATTGGGACAGACGCGGGTGAACTCACAAGATTTCCCACCCGCCTTGTCCTTTGTCGGCAGAGCCTGAAAATGATCCTGCAACGCACCTCGCAGCGGTCTCCAGCTTCGGAACTTTGCCTTTGCCATGGCCAGCTGCCCGCTGCAAGTGGCAGTCCGAATCCGCCCACATCAACCGCACGACGGGAAGAATGGTCGGGCATCAGTGCAAGCTGCAGATGCCGCCACGATCGAGACCACTGATGGCACAGACACCAAGACGTTTGTCTATGATCGCGTCTTTGGGCCAGTGCCGGACTCAGCTTGTTCCAAATTCCGATGCAGAATGCATAGTTCTTCAAATGAGAGTCGTCCGAAAGGTCCTTGTATTGAGCTATGAAGGGGAAGACCTTTTGGTCTTAGCGTTGATCTGCGCGAAAGTTCCGCGAAGGGGGTTGCAAAAGTTGTTTTTTGTTCGCGGAAGTTTTGTGTAAGGGTGGCTTGCTAACAGGAAGCTGGAATGATGAGCCATGTGTATTTGCCAGCAGTGCGCGCAGAATGCCCGCAGACTAAAATGCGCGGCCTGAGGGTTGCCGCGAGAGCACGCCGCTGCAAAAGCAACCCGCAGCCAGCAGAAACCAGCTTGTGGGAGATTTGAAGCTTTCGGGTCAAGTTGAGTGCAACATTCCAGCCGGATTCTCGCGAATGTTTGGCGTAAGATCCGCGAAAGTTTCGCGAAAGTCGGCGGACCTCCCTGCAAGTTTCCGGACATGAGGCCAACGGGAGCTGCGTAAGCGCACTTCGCGTGCTACTTTGGAACTAAAAGGTTGCGACTTTCGAGCTGGGGCTGCGGAAGTTGACTTTGCGTACTACTTTCGCATCGAAAAGTTGCGACTTTGAAGCTGGAGCTGCGGAAGTTTACTTCGTGTACTGCTTTCGCATCGAAAAGTTGCGACTTTGAAGCTGGAGCTGCGGAAGTTTACTTTTCGTGCTACTTTCGTATTGAAAAGCTGCGACTTTCGAGCTGGGGCTGCGAAAGCGTACTTCGTGCATTACTTTTGTGATGAATGTTCTGAAAACAGCCCTGCGAAAGTTCCGCGATGGGGTCCGCGAAGCAAGGAAGATGGAATGGGTATGTGTCAAAATAGGGGTACCCCACAAAAATTGTGGTTTTACTTTTCTTTCGGTTTCTTAGCCTCGCAAAACACTCACTCGCCTAAATGCCAAGGAAGCCAGCCAGCAAGAAGTGTACAGCCACTGCGCGCTGAATTTGGTGGATTCTGTGATCGAGGGCACCAACGCCTGCATCTTCGCTTTTGGATCCACCGGAGCTGGCAAGACGCACTCAATGCTGGGTCCAGAAGGTGGTCGCAGGCAAGGTTTTGTTGCGATTTGCTTCAACAACCAGACCTTGGCCCCCGATGGCCCCCCTATCGTTACGTTTTTGAACGGAGGTTGTTCAAAAAGATGGGTGTTTAAGCGGTGCGTGTTTTGTTTCAACAGGTGCTTGGCATTTGGCACAAGCCTGCCTCGGTGCCTATGCGGGATTAACGGTGGATGTTCAATCAACAAAGTGTTTCAGGTGGTTCAACAAGTCTTCTCCTCTTTGTCGGACACTGTTTTTGTCGGAAACTGCGAGAGGAATGGGGGGGGGGGGGGAATGGGGGAAGGGGGAGGGTGGGGCGGGGGAGGGCAAAATTTGGGTCGCTGGATCGCTCCAGCGACAGCGACAGCGCCTCGCTGGATCCCTGAACAGGCAGGCCACCCAAGACGGGATCTTGCCCCGGGCCGCGGCGGAGCTCTTCCGGCGCATCGCTCGCGTGGAAGCGGAGGCCAAGGCAGCCATCGGCGCCAAGGGCTTCTCCGCCTATGAGGCGACCGAGAGAAAACCAGCCGTGGCTGTGGGTCAAACGTAGGTACCCAAAATGGAAGCCTGGAAAACGGAAACATGGACTAAAACCTGCGGAACTCTGGTGGTTCAATTTGACCCATACTCATGTTGGGAAACTCGTGTATGTGAAAAGTCTATGGTCCACTTGTGATTGAGTCTGAATGGTTTTCCCAACACACACACACACACACACACACACACCCCTACGAGAATGGTTCTTTTGTTTTGAAAGGAAACCCAAAGGGACAACAGCCACTTTAGCGGTCCTTTTCCAGGCTCTGGTCCATTTAATTTGGGAGACAAAACGAGTCGCTAAATTCCAACCAAAACCAGGCTCACTAACCAAGGGGCAGACTCCCTAATGTCCTTTTTGGGGTAGGTGCGCCACCAATTTTAGTCTATTTTAGTGGGGGTTGGGATGTTTACCGGGGGTACGGGATTTTGACCCATGGCCAAATGTCAATGTCCCATGTCCAACAGAGCACCACTAGATATTGACTGCTATGAGGTCCGCGTGTCCTTCCTGGAGGTCTACTGCGAGAATGCCTTTGACTTGCTCAGCGGACCTGTGTCTGCGTCCCGGGATCCCTCCAGCTCATGTCAGTTGCGGGAGACGACTCTCTGCTGTTTGGTTGGATCTTGAACCTTTGACTTGGGGGCGGGGACTGGGGGGGGAGGGGGGAATGCTGCTTTTCTCACGAGCCGCTGTTACTCACCAAGGACTGATGGGCGGGTCTACGCAGATGGCGCCAAGGAGGAAAGGATCAAGTCCTGCGAGCAATTGCTGGATGTCGTAGCTGCCGGGGCACGGGCAAGAGCGACAGCGGCCACAGGCGTGCATGCTCATTCCTCTCGGTCGCATGCTTTGCTCGTTGTCTCGGTGGAGCATCGCTGGCGAGAGGTGGGCGAAACCGATCCATCGAAGTTCAAAAGTCAGGTTGCGCGTCTTACTTTGGTGGACTTGGCGGGGGCTGAGTCCATGGAGCGAGCGCACGGAGGCAGCGTGGACGCTGCAGGCGTTGGCACAAACATGGGATTGCTGGTCCTAGGCCGTGTTATACGGGCACTGGCAGAGGGATCTGAACGCGTCCCTTACCGCGATTCGACGCTGACTCGCCTCATGCAAAGCTCGTTGGGCGGCAAAGCGAAGACTCAGATGCTCGCGTGCGTCAGCCCTGCGGCGCACGAAGGAGATGTCACTCTTAGCACGCTGAAGTACGCTGCCTCTGCCAGGCGTGTGTTGCTGAAGCCGGAGGCCGGCAACAAATTGGTTTGCACCACCCCCTCCAATTCCTTCAAAGGGAGCCCTTGAAAGGAGGATGTAACAGTTTGGCGTTTTCGTCTTGCCATGTTCAGCTGCATGTTTCTACCATGGACCTGGAATCGCCTGAGGCAGCAGCCATTGCCACGGAGTTCGAGTCGGATCCCATGCTCGCCGACGTGGAGGATGACGACGCCGCGCTGAATCGGCGCTGCATTTGGATCGAGACCGCGGACTTCGGCGATGTGTTCGCCCGCTGCTTGGGGGACCCCAAGGATCCCTTGATCTTGTACCCTGGTTCCCATATTTTGGTTCGTTAGGCTTCTTAGAGCTCATGACGTACCCCTCAAGTCAAACTCTTGGACTTTTAGAGGCTTTTTGGCAGTTAGAGGGTCTTACGGTATGACATCCCTTTTAGAAAGGAATGAACAAACCTTTAAGGTATGAACAACCTTTAAGGTATGTCCATGGATCTGGGCCTCACAATAGCTCGAACTTCTGGAACAAGTTGGTCATGGATGTGGCTGTGCAGGCCAGCGCAGGCTGGGCCTTCTGTTGAAGCCTCCTGCTGCATTTCTCCTTTGCTTGGTGCCCAATCTCAGTCAAACAATCTGGCTGTGGGTCAAAACCAATGGTACCATTTTGGGCTGGGTGCACCACCCATTTTAGTCTATTTTTAGTGGGGATTGTGACCCATGGCCATCTAGTCTAGCCAGCACACTAGGCAGCCTTGTACGCGAGTCGAGTTGCATACTCTAAACGCGAGTAGTGGAATTTCGGAAGCGCTCTTTGGGCAAAACCCGAGCGACGGCGACAAGGCACTGCACAGACACATCTTCTGTATGGCCACCAAGTAACATCGAATGTGGTGCGAAATGCACCGTGAACGAAATGCAACACACGCACGTGCTGCCCTGAATGCCTTGAACCCAGCCATGGTGCATGTTCTGAAAAGGGGCAGACCTAGGTGAAGTTCTTCTTGGAGGTATGAAAAAAAAGGAGCCATGTACTCCACGCTACCCATGTGACAGCCTAAAGATCTGAACAGCTTGACCAGTGACTTCTCACAATTTCTGCGTCGGAAGCTCCGAGCAGCGTCCAACCCCCCCCCCCAAAAAAAAAAGAAGAAAAGATACAGGCACCATTTTGGCAGGTGGTGCTGCTACTACCTGGTTTCAGGGGGTTATAGTAAGGCATATACAAACCTGCATAGCCTTGTTGGTAGTTGGGCTTTGGGCGTTGCTCATGTAGATATTTCATATCCGGGGCTCTCGTGAAAGCAAGCCGGGCTATTGGCGAGGTGCCGGAGACGTGCCAAAGAGCTATTTCCAGGTGGGGGGTTCTCAAAATGGACCCCCTATTAGTTGGTGGTTGAGCAAAATAAGACCAACCGTTGTATGGAACCCTTTTCAGCTTGGTTTCAACGGACACCAAAAGGAAGCACCCTTCTTGTAGGGGGGACCTCTTCTGGCTTGGTCTAAATGGACCCCAAAAGGAGAACCGCTCATTTCCGTGGTCACAAGCCTTATTTTGCCAGGTGGCCATCGACTGTCCTGGTTACGGTCGCTCCCCTGGAGATCGCCAGAGCATTCGCTCGTATCCTGGGGCGCTGATTTCGAACCTCGTGCGCGCCTTGGGACGGAAGACGGTCGCCTGCCTGGTTGGCTCGAGTCAAGGAGCTTGCGGCACTTTGAACTGCGCTTTGGAGTGTCCGAAGTTGATGCTCGGCTCCCATCCGATTCCTACTTTGCTTTTGCGTCAAGACAGCGAGACCCCTTTGCCTGGTTTCCTTTGGGTTGCCCTTTGACACCACCCCAAAAAGGATCCCACGAAAAGATTCAGTTTGAGCAAGGGAACGAGCCACCAAGGATGCACACCATTGCAGTGTGCCATCCAGTGGGACATGCTCCGACTCGCTATGTGGCCATCAACCAACCGACTCTCCTGATCTTCGACACGGAGGATGCTGGGCATCCAGTATCGGTGGGGCGGCAGATGAGGCGTCATCTTCCAAATCCAAGGCTGGTATGGCTCGTCAAAATGAGTTTCCTTGTAATTTCTCTTTGAAAAGGTACCCTCAAAAGAACCACAGCCATATGGGTCTTTATAGCCATGTTAGTAGTCAAAAGGACCCTAAACGGGTTCTAAATTCTAGACCAAAAAAGCAACACAAGCCCAGGTACTTTGAATTCACCCGGTCAGCAGACGGCGATTGGGAGGTACACCATATGGCAGAGGAATGCGTTGGGTTCGATTCAACTCCTTCCCTAAACTTGCTGAAGCCACCCACCTCTTTCAAACCACCCCAAAGAGAGGGTACCCTCAAAATGCGCACAGGCACACCTATTGTCTAAACAACAATCTAGTTGCCCCTTCAAAGTGGCCGTCTGATGGTTAGCACATTTCGCAAGCCTGGAGGAAATGCTTGGAATGATGCATGAGAGCTATGCAAGCTGGAGAAGCAAGAGGCAGGGCGGGAGAAGGGACAAGGAGCTTCCCGACCTCACTCGAGTGGCTGGCGGGTTCAATGGCTGGAATGATCGGCATGTGGATGAGATAGACCCTTGGGGTGGATATGACGAGATCGACGCGGCAGAAACTGCGGCTGCAGGAGAGAACTGTTGGCGAGCTCGACTGGACCCCTCATCCAACACAATTGTGTATCTTGGCGGTTCCAAGGCACCTTAGACTTTGAGATTTGTAGAGTTGAGAGGGGCTACTGACCTGTCTCATATCCACTAAAGCTTCGGCCAAGGTATGAGAACGCCGTCACCGGTCGAGTCGCCCGCGTGCGACCACCCGGTGCACAAGTGCTAGTTGAAAAGTTGGGCCCTTCGGCTGGAAAAGCCGACTCGGCTGGGGCCACTTCCGAGCAGTCGACTTCTCCAGCGCCCGAGTCAGCCGGACTGGTGCCACGAGAAGGCAGGCAATTGATACCCCTCTTTGAAGGGATGGATGAAGATGACGATGAGGACGATGAAGAGCGACAGGAAAGGGAGGCCAAAGAGGCGGCCGCGCTACTGAATCAGGAGGCGTCCCAGAGTCACTGCGATTTGTGCCGCAAAGCCTTGATACGGCCTGTCCGGCTGGCCCGATGTCGCTGCGCACTTTGCGCCTGCTGTGTGGAGGTGACGGTTCTCTACATGCGCGACTGTCCCGTATGCTTTTCTCCTGTGGATGTGAAGGGCGGCAAGGCAGTTTCTGATTCCCAGACATCCACTGGTGCCCTTTGTCCTCTTCTTTGGAGGGGTGCCAAGTTTCCCTTCAAAGTCTACACAATAAAAGGGTGGGTGCCTCTGTCCCCAAGACTGGGCTCAGGACGCCTCCAGCGAGCTGCTCTCCCAGTGCCAAGATGCAGAAGCCTCGGCTGTGGAGCAACTGCACACACTTGAGCAGCTGGTGGAAGCGCGTCAAGCATCTCCCCGACTCATCTTGCAGCATCTGGGTCAAAAGTTTGCCCCTGAAAAGATGAGCCGGGGAGTCATTGTTATTTTTGCCCGCCGGGAGTCATTACAGTCTTATTTTTGCCCCTGAAAAGATTGAGCCGGGACTATATATATATATATTGCGGTGCCATGGGTTCGAACGTTGACTGAGGTATGGAAATAAATCCGCTGGGTCTGGAGGGAAGAGGTCATATACAACCTTTTTCAAGGTCGTCTCTGCTGAGGGAGTGGCAGACAAGGGAAGCGTTGCCAAAGTCGACTTCAACATCAACCCGGGCTACTCCAAGCCAACAGCTTCTCTCAAAGAGTCCAACGACAAAACCCTAGGCTTTACATTTGAGTATGCCATGGCGCGTGCGTATCCATGCCATATGACCATCCATTTCAAGAGCGAGTTGGGCTTGCCCAAGCTTGTCATCGAGCACTATGTTCAAGATGAACCCAAAACCACGCGACGGATACTACTGCAGCTGCTTTGGCTGCAATCAGCGTGGTTGTCCGGCCTGTGTCTAAGTGATGTTTTGGATACCTGCGGATTCGCCGTTTAGGAGCGCCAAGAGAGAAGTGCTAAAAGAGTGTAACAATTGGTGGAATCCGGGGCATCCAAATCGTCTAAGCTTTTCTGGGCGGTCCATCTTCTAGCAAAGAAATAGACTGTTTGCTGCTTTGCGCGCCTGCGCATGAGCAGGATTGATAAACGGGCGCTTCAACTCTCACTGCAAGACATCGATCGTAACGATTTCTTCAAGCGTGCAAGTAAGGTTCTCCAAACCGCAATAAGTATAGTATGTGCACCCAAAGCAAGACAGCGTTCAATCCTTTGGCAACAAGTACCCAAGGCTGCCACAAGTGCGATTGCCACCATCTGGAGCACCGCGTATCACAGAGAAGGAGACTGTCTTTGACGCGGTGCCATGGCATGAACAGCCGCCAATGTGAGGTTCGATCAATATGCGATCAACTTAAAAGAGGTCTCTGAATTCCTACGACCAGCAGGAACTCGTGAAAGCGCACGAAATTCCTCACCAAAACCACCAAGTTTCCCGGAAACACAATTCTCTGATTTACCCAGAGGAGCCACAATCAAAACACGGGCAATTGGAGGGTAGTAAGAGGCAATCACAGCCACAAAATGGGTGCAGCCGCCTTGTCCATCCATGACGTAATTCTGGGTAGGCCGTTTTAGTACCGGATTTGGGTTGTGATTCAGGTCATCCCATCTCCATTTTGACCGCACATGGGTCTGTGTCAAAGTTAATCCCCCAGAAAAACCGCTGGTTTTATGTTTCCATTCAGCGGGTTCCATTTCTCGGGTGCCGGTTTTTGACCCACAGCCACACGTCTGAGTGTCGCGAAATGGATTTTGAGCCTCCGAACTGCTAGGAGAGGGCCCCCGAGCAGAACCCCCCCAAAGAGGTGAGTCCAATTCCCCTGGTTGGGTTCCTGCTCATGGAGAGTAGCTTTGAGATTTTATTGACTCGTCCGTGCTCATGGAGAGTAGCTTTGAGATTTTTGAGACTCCGTGCTCTTAGTTGCGTCTGAGGATCCTCCACAGAACGCCTGGTTGTGCTACCAAGCTGGTCGCAGCACCTCGGAGCACGCTGAGCTTTGGGCGGACAGAGGGGAAGGTGCCCTTGAGATGAATGCGGAGACCCGGCCTTTGGATTCTGTTTACAGGTTTTGGGGGTAGACTACTGTGAATGCCAATTGATGCCGGTTTTTGGTATGATTCATTTTGCCGGGGCGGTTCTGACTCTGAGATGGTGTCAAATCTGAGGCCCATGTATCCCGGAATCTAGTGCCCCTTGTGTAATGGTTTTTCTGCTTGTTGTGTCTGTCCAAAATCAATTGATCCTGCTTTCTTATTTCTGCCAGATGGTGGTTTATCCTTCCTCAGGCCTAACATGGAAGCTCAACTGGGACCCTTTTGGACTTGGTTCCATATGCACGGATCGGCCTTGGAGCTTCCTTCCGCCTGAGGGAGCGTCTCCGAAAAAATCGTGAAAAACCTCAGGCGTGCTCACCACGGAGCCACGGGAGTTCATGGCCACCCTGCTGGGGGCTCCTGCACCTCGTCAGCGGCCTTGTGGTGTTAAACTTAACATGCACAGCCCATGTTGACATGTTCAGAGTCACAACATCTTGGAATCTTGGTCAAAAGCAGATGCAACTTCTTTTGGAAGGACCCGTTTTGGGGTTGGTGAGGGGAGCAGAAGGCAACCCATTTGGAGGCTGTGCCATTTTTTCAGAACCCAGGTCAAGTCTGTTGAAACGTTTGTGAAGGCCCCCATCCTAACCCAAACCATCCCTGTATGTTTTGGTCATTCTCGTTCGGGGCTTTCAAACAACCGTGCATGAGGGAGGGACATGTAGTCCATCACAAAAACCAGAGGACTCAATAAATGTCCCATGTTCTTCTGGGGGAATGAGTAATCTTGACCATGCCGCACATGACCCCTGTTTCCTTCGCATCACAACTCTGCATGATCAGGCACCCGATGCAGCTCCGGCACGCTCCATCAGCAGGAAATCCAGCAAAGCCAGCACTGGATCACGGAAGAGCAAGGGCTGACACTGCTGTTCGAGTAGACAAAGCGCCAGAAAATGAGAAGCGCTTACCTAACAGCTGTAGCTCTGTACAGTGGGTTTCAAACAGCTGCGAGGTCTATCTTTTACGAGATCGCTCAGCGCTCGTCTGCAAAGCTGTAACTAGCTTCCGAACCTTGACAAAGTCACAGGTTCGAGCAGAAGTAAAGGCTAACTCGCCTGAGGTGGCGCCAACAGTCGCAAGCTGCATGATGCCGTGTGGTTTTGGATGAGGGGTACTAATGCTATGCATGGCCATGTAGCGACATGTGTGATTTGCCGAGCCTGTATGGCCCAAGAATACAAGACAAGAATACAATATGACTGAATCAGCAGCGTTCATGAGCGCAACTTTCATATTTTGGAGAAATCAGCATGTCGTTCCGAGCTTTTCTGTGACATTCATGGCCTCGCGGAAGTCTTCGGGGTAGCATGCGCCTTGGCGCGTGCCGCTGGCTGGGCGCTCAGATCCGACGAGCCCCTGGGCGACCGGTGACGGCCAGCGCCTTCACCGGCGCTTCCGCAGCGGGCTCCGATGCCATCCGACACTTGGCGAGCCAACCTTCAGAGTTTGAAGGGAATGACATAGGGCTTGTGTCAAAGCAAGCGACTCTCAAAATGAGTGGCTTCCTGTTGGTTTCCCTTTACCGGCCAAAAGGGGCCTTGGTGCATCACATGCAAAATGGAGAGTACGCCAGAGGGAGTGACATCTGACATATTCCCAGCGAAAAGTTACGCCCAGGAAGCGCGGGGCTGTGGGAGCTCTTGGAGGCGAATGGTCACTACTTCAACGCGCATCGCATGGCCGCCCTCTTGGCAGAGGTGCTGGAGGAGCCGCGCTGGAACCTCAGAAGCACGGGGACTCCCCGATTTCCAATTTCTCCCGGGCTACGACTTGTCATGTCATGAATGCAACCCAACTGATGCCCACTTCTCCTGAAGCTCATGTTCATCCAACGTCCATGTTGAAATTCTCATTTCTCCTGAATGTCCTGTGCCCCATCCTGATGTCCAGTTCGGGTTTTGGGTTCTTCTGATTCAGACGCGACCTGGACCATCCGCGACCCGGACTCCCCGGTCCAGTCACGTGTCAGGTGGCAAAGCCAGGGGAGATCCGAGGCTGCAAGCCTACCTGCAGAAGGCAGGCGCGCGGAGGGCGGTCGGAAGTCGGGGGGGCGCAGGTCCGGCAACATCGGGGGGCCAGTCTTTTCGAAATCAGAGGATCCTGGAAATCATGACCACCCCAAATATATATATATATATATATATGTATATATGTGTATATATGTATATACATATGTGTATATATGAAAAAGAACAGAAAAAAGAACTGATGCAGGTGGTCAGAGCTCAGAGAACTTGCAACTGGAAGGCCATCACTTCCTGCCATTTGTACGAGAACCTGCGGGAGCTGACAGCAAAGGAGAGTGAGAGTCATTCAATGAAGTTGCCCTCCTGTTGGTTGGTCAAAGGAAAACCCAAGAAGAACACTGCCATTTTTCAGGTCAGCATTTTGAGCTCGGCTGAATCAAGTCCTTGGAATACTGGTCGATCCGGTCCAGGACATTGCGGCTGCCATCACTTCCTGTCGAGAGGCCTTCCGGGGATGGAACAAAGTCTGGACTCTTTCTGACCAATCCACTCAGAAAGTGAGCTGAGTAGATAAGCTGCGGGAGGGGCTTCAGCTCTGCTTTTTCCCAGCTGAAAGTTCTGGAGTGCTGAGTTGTTTGGAGCTGTTTCGGGCCAGGGTTTCGGGTTGCTACCTGGCCTTTTTTGCTTCCTCGCTCAGATTGGGCATCCCGCGGCAGAAGACCTGTCTGATGTGCTGGTGGATACGATCTCAGAGCAGCTGCCTAGGCAAGCTATTCCTGCCTGGCTGCTTTGTTTTCTGTATGTTTCGCGGAAGCGCAGACTCTCGCTGGTCCGGGTGTCGTTCTTCATCACCAACTTTGCCAAGCAGCAGATAGAGGCCAATTGACAAATTGTGCAAGAGGATGCTTCGCTAGAAGTATTTTCCCTTTTGCAGGACACCCGCTTTTGGAAGTCAGCAGCTCGAGCCGTCGCTGACTCTTCTCAACCACTCACGCCACAGGCCATGCATGTGATGAAGCCAAGCTCCCAACAATACCAAGGTGGGTTTGCCTCAAAGGGTGGCAAGCAAAATGCGGCTCCCCTGCAAAAAGGGCAGTCGCATTTTTTTGCGAATTTCAGGTGGTGGTCAGCCTGCTGGACGCCTTCCGCAAGAGTGGCTTGCGCTCCGAGCGGCTCTTCCAGGCCTTCAAGTGGCAGCAGTCACGGTGCATATGGCTGTGGTTGTCAAAACCGTTCTGGGATCCCATTTTGGTTGGCAGGTGAATTCACCACCCATTTTAGGCGTCCTATTTTAGTGGTTGGATTGGGATGTTCACTGGCGGTACGATTTAGATTTTGACCCATGGCCATATGAGGCTCGGTCAAAAATCTCCAGTCAATGGTCCATTGAGGTGTCGGGACATGGGGGACTCTAGATATGTCACAAAGGGGACTCTCTAACTTTCCCATATCCGGCAAGGTAACAATAAATTTAACCGTAACTCATATGTGTCCAAAAGACCCTTCACTTGGGGGTAGCGGGGATGGTCATCCAACTGGTAGTAAGGATCTTTAATAACCATTATGATGATTCCTTTTTAAGAAACCATGACCGTAGGCCATACAAGCAATTTTGACCGTGGCTCACATGATGCATGTGGTTTCAATTGCGTGCAGAGCTCGCAGTACCGACAATTTAGCTCAAGGTCATGTACCTTCATGGAAGATAAGTCAAACTAATGCGCGAGTGCATCAGATCCACCCCAGCATTGTCAACCCGTCAGTCGCAATTTGTCCAACAGATGATACCTGAATTCCCGTCAGAACATCAGTCGCATAAAGTGGCACCAACTTCACGTGCTTGTCATGCAAGTATCGCTGGGCCATGATGGAATGGCCGAGTCCGCCAAAGGTGCAGCGGAGGAGATTGCACCATGGCGCCATATCACAAGTGATGGTTTTGTCCGAAGCGCACATCAAAGATCCCCTTGCAAAGGCTTGACAGGCTGCACCCCAAGCATGATCCCTCAGCGTGCAGTTCCAATGTCCAAATCGCTAATGTTGGTTGAAGCCGATGGCACATGGCAGAGTTTGCTGAAGCGGAGGACAGCTCGACGGGGCTTCGCAGACGGGCTCGGGAGGTTCCAGAATCGAGCGGGGCGAAGCCGAAATCGGAGCGCTTTGATCCTTTGAACCAAACTCGAGGGGCGACCTTTGAGGAGGAGTATGCGCAGGTCAATCGAGATCTGGATGAGCCCGAGAATCCCCAGCGTCGGACCTGGCTTAGCCTGGTGTTCTTGGTGCTCTTTACAACTCCAGCCATTGCAGCATCTTTCCTCACCGCCAGGGAATGGGCAGATCCCTTGGTCCGGATAGTAGCTCCGGATGATACCGATCAAGTGCAGGACGGGGGTTTAGTTGGTTCCAAGCCCAGGGGAGAATGAAAGTCCCTAAAAGGGGCTCCAACAAATGGAACTGTAAAACATGACATGCCTGTCTAATCATCATTAGGTTAACCTTTACGTAGTAGTGTGCGGCCATGTTGATTGGTTGAACCACAACAACGGCCCGTGAAATGGTGTTTTAGCCCCTGCAGGGCTAATTAACCATTACGACTTGGGTTTAAGTCTCAACAACTCGGAGTGGACATGATTCAGGTGGGGAGTCATGTCCACCAACCACTTGAGTTTGGTGGTTCCAACTCTAGTTGAGTTCGCAAATTCACCCATGAGGAACCCACTCGGGTGGTTCCCTATTTGCATGGTTCCATTTTGGGGTTACCCTATGTTTGAAAATCCCACGGCCACTTGGCCATAGCTTCAGGACATCTTCTTCGGCGGCGCGGCCTGGTTGGTGTCCTGCGTCACGCGGAAGAGCCCCGAGAAAGCGCCCGCGGTGCTCACCGCGGCGGCGGAGCTCCTGCGGCCCCGGGGGGTCAAGACGGCGCGGGTGCACTGCTGGGAGCTGCTGGAAACGAAGAAAGGCGGGGGATGTTTGTATGGTCTAAGAAATGTTGTTAATAAATAAATGAATAAATCAATATATATATATATATTATACATATTAATGAGTATGTACTTGGAACTATATTTGGTCATGATCAACAAACCAACAGTTGGCTCAACCCAAGAGCGCAACACTGCCCAACAGCCCATACAAAACCGACAGGCCAACCAGAACTTGGCGGCGGCGCCGCCATGTGTCCCTTCAAACCGGGCACGGAATACCTCAAAAAAGTAACAAAAAACATGTTGGTGTGTCTCAAAAAGAAGCGATTGAGCAGCGCCAAGAGCCCGCAGAAGGCAAGTTTTAGTGGGTGATTCTAAATGCTGGACGTCTGTCGAGCAGTGGGCGCTGGCAAATGTGTGGTATTTGTCAAAAAAAGTGTATGTGTCAATGCAACATGTCAAATCAAATGTTGGGTGAGAATGCCAAACATTGGGAACCCCCCCCCAACAAAAATAAAGCATAACAAAATGGTGGAGTCCTTTTGGTGTGCCTTTCAACCAACCTGAACAGGGTGCAAAATTGGTTTGAATCACCGTGCGCTCCTTCAAAAAGGGCAACCAAAAGCGGTGTTTGAAATCGTGGTTTAAACATGTTTGAACACAAGAAGTCCTATGGTGGTCCTATGCAAATGAACCTGTTGCCGGGAAAAGCCACATGATTTCAACCAGTTTACACCAGAGCGCCCTTAAAGGGCGAGCCCCAGTCAGGTTCTGTAGGCAAGAGGCACGTCATGGGCCCATTAAAGGGACACCCTCGTAACACTATACCTTTCCTTTTTGAGTACCTGGTCTTATTGGGATTGTACCAAGAACTGTATAAAGATGTGTCATGGTTTGTCAATGGGTGTTGGGCGCTGCTCATGTCGGTGTGTGTTTGTGTCTGGTACCGCTGCTCATGTCGGTGTGTGTTTCTGGTACCTGTTGGCTACTTGTACCTTGGTTTAAAGGGGAAACTGCAGGGAAAAGCACCGCTTTTGGGGTTCCCCTGTATTGAAATGGGGGTTGAAACCCGGGTCCCCGCATCGCGGCAGGGCCCCGCACCTTAGCGCACCGCTTCGGGTTCCGGGACAAGCCGCCGGTGGTCATGGCCACCAAAGGCAAAGGCGACGGTACGTCTCAGAACCAACCCCCTGGTCCCCAAAAACAGAGGTTGTTTAAACAAATGGTTGTGGTTCAACACCTAAGGTGCCTTTTTGGGGATGGTCACTCCACCGTTGTCTTTTTAGAAGGCTTTCTGGGTGTTTAGCGGGGAACTGGGGTTTTGACCCATACCAGATAGGAGGGTTAATGAACTTAGGGGAGACAAAAGGTTGAAGCAGGTGGTTTAAACCAGGCGCCTTTTGTTTCCCCCCTGCAGGCCAGCCAGTGCTTCTGGCAGCCACTGGATTGCAAGCGGAAGAGTTGGCGGCCAAAGTACTTGCAGCCGTGATTCCAGGCTCAAAAACCGCAGGGGTTGGCTGCATGTTTGTTTGTTTACACAAACCACAGACAGGCCTTTTTCACCTCGAACGGAGCGCGGGAGCCAACAGGAAGTGGTCTAAAAATGGGTCATACAACATGTTCATGCCCTGCTCAAACATCAACTTCCAAGAGCCCTACATGAAACTCAGCACAGCTGGTTTCCGTCGGGTTGGCCAATCTTCAGCAAAAAATGTGGGTGTTTCCTACACCCAGCTGCCAGATGAAGCTGGAGCTCCAGAAGCCTCGGTGCGAGAGCGGCTCCATGGCACTTCCTCGTTTTTTTTTTTGTTTTGTTTTTTTTGTGGTGGGTGGGTGGATCTTGGGTGGTCGTTGGGTGGCTTTGGGGCAGCTTTGGGGTAGTTGTTGGGTGGTTTTTGGAGCTTCTTTGTTTTTTTGGTGTTGAAGAAGGGAATGTTCCTTGGCTTTTGGGGCTCGCGCTATGTTGTACGTTGTTCAGCATGCCAGGATCCCAGGAGCAATACAATAAATTGCGATGCGTGGTTTGGCCCAGCGAGAAAACAAGCTTCAAGACAAAGAGAAAGTGCAAAGCGCGTTCTAATTCCGGCACACCTTTGTTTGCAGGAGTCGCAGCACAACACGGAGCTGAGACAGAAACCAGGACAACATGACAACAACTGTTTGATGAAACAATGTCGCCCGTGGACTGCTCGGCTGTCTGCCATTTTGTGTCAAAATAGTGTTTCTCATCTGCTACTGCTGCCGCCGCCGCTGCTGCTGCCGCCATGAACACTCACAGTACTGCACGTACCAATGCTGACCCAACAAGTGTATACAAACCGATATTCTCTTGTTTGGGGTTGGATCTAAAGAGCAACCAAAAGGACGAGCAAAGCCAATTTGGGGCCCCCTATTTTGGCACACACCTCAGGGGACCTGAAATGGGGGCTCTAATAAAGGGGTTCCAGCATCCTTGAGCCCATGTCATGTGAGGCACAGTCGAAATGTGTGAGAGTCCCCTATCGTTCGCCATCGTTTCGTGCATATTTCACAATATGAAACACCGAATACTAAACTCAGAAGTAAATTTGACGGTACTTCTTGTGTTAGAACTCATTCTACGGGTCACCCAAGTGCCCGTATGTGCCTTTGGAATCCACCGGTTAAAAACTCCGCACCCTCAACGGCTCGAGGCCAGGACGTTCGGGGCGTCGAGCCGAACGAGTCGGCAAGCGTCCTACGGAGAGCGACGAGGCCGTTGGCGGAGTGTTGCAGCGAGTCGGTCAGGTTGAGACTGCGACTGATAACCATAGTTCTGTAACTTGCCTTGTGAACTTCGATCTGAACAGTGAATGATAGTGAGTGTAACATGACGGGAACTTCGAGAGACTGTGAGGGAATAGTCACTGACAGGGGGCCTTTTTGAGTCAGGAAGCCGTGCACTTTGACGTAGGCGAGAGCGCGGAGGTGTCAGAGGACAGCAACTGTATTCCGTGGGCAAGGTCTGCTTGGTACAAGTCCCTGCCAGGAGCAAAGCCCGCGGGACGAAGGGGAGGAGGAGGTGAACTTAGATGCCGGCAGCTAGCGCGCCGGAAAAGTGCCGCTGCAAAGCTCTCTGTTGATCGCATTGCAACAGAAGCATCGAATGCGATGGTGGCCTCCCGTTTGCCATGCAGGCACTCGGTCGACGTTTGTATGAAGTGCTAGACAACTTGGAGCCGGGGCAGTGACCTCAGCAGACTCAATATAGTGTGACATGGCAAGCAAGCCAAATGAGGCACATCCCACCCATCGTGGCCACGCTTTGTCGTGTGCCCATGAAGGAGGAGGCGCAAAAGCTTCACACCTTGAAAGATATCATGTGAAGTGTTCGATTCCGAAGCATGACTTAGCATCTGTAGAAACCGCTCTAAGAAGAAAGCTAAAAAAGGGTGCCAATGGTTCATTCAACGGGCGGCAGCAGGACAAGGAGGAAGTAGTTCGCGCTCTTCTCACCCGGTGGCTGCTCATGTTGCGCAATGAGAAGGCGCAGAGAGTCCGTGACAAACAGATGGAAGCAACTACATGTCCCTAAGCCAGTTCAAGCCACTTGTTGGGTGTAACTCGTTCGTGAGCCCTGCACGGGTTCCGGACAGTCATGTTTGTAGAATCCTGTTCGAAGCCATTCAAAGGGTCACCCAAACTAGGGATGACTTCTTTGGTGTAAGGACAATGCCAAATGCCAATAGGGTGTACCCTCCCACCAGCCAACATGGAAGTGCACAGACCGCTGTAGAAAGACTACTTTCCTCTTGGAAAGGGCCTTTTTGCACTTGCATATCAGTTGGTGGGAGGGAAATTGTTACCCGCCAGTTGGGATTGCGATGCTTCAGAATTATTCGCTGGGTACAGGAGAAGTTCACGGGCGCCATCACCATTCAGCAGATCCTCAGCTTGACCGTGCCAGCTGCCTAGTGCGGCAGATTGGAGCCAGACGCAGTGTGGGGCTGTGTCTTTTTGGCGGTTTCCTTCCAAAGAGTGGTCCCCTGTTTTGAGATAGACCTATCTTTTTCACCCGCGGTTTAAAGGGACACCAGAAGCAAACCCACTGTTTTGTGCGGCGGGATCCGGTGTTCGTTCGCTTGCCGCATCCCTGGCATCACCAGTCTCACTTGGCCGGGGGGTTGCCTCTTGGCTCTGATTGGGAGGCAGTTGGGAGTTGCTGGGGGCTGGTTTGTCAACCCTTCGCTTCGCCAAAATCAACCCCACACCACCCCAAGACCCACGTCATGAAGATCTAAGCCAGCCTAAACACTAACTTAAACCCCCCAGCAACTCCCAACCGCCTCCCAATCAGAGCCAAGTGACCCTGCGAACCTCCACCCCCCCCCCGGTTTGGACACCCTGTTTTGATTCCGAATTCGCTCCGCGCAAAGATAGACGTAGTAAAAAGGGATCACGTTTTCACGCTGGGAGTAGAGGTAGTTTGCGAGGGATCGTTTCTAGATGTTTGTCTATCTCTGTGCGGGACCCCCTTTATCTTTCCGAGCATTGATACACACACACATGTGGCTGTGGGTCAAAACCAATGGTACCATTTTCGGGTAGGTGCCCACCCATTTTAGAACCGATTTTAGTGGGGATTGGGATGTTCACTGGGGGTACGGGATTTTGACCCATGGCCATGTGATGCCCAAGCTGCTACGTTTGGATTCCTGATGCTGAGCATGTGTGTGTGTGTTGCTTGATTGCAGAGGCTCTTCTGATTCAAAGCGGTTGCCCGGTGAACTTTGGCCCATTGACAAGGTCTCTTGGATTGACGCCGGACCTCGTGAACACAGCGGTCTTCACCAAAGATGCTGGGGCCTTGGCCAGCGAAGAAGTCGAGGCTTTGCAAACTTAGGGACGGTAAAACGGTGAGTTTCCTTGTGGTGTCACTTTCAAACTACCCAACAAGGGGGTCCCTCAAAGACAAGGTTGACAGCCGCGCTTGGCCTTCGCTGCGATTTGCACTAAGATACCAAGTTTCTTGAGTCATGTGTACCCTGCTGTGCATCTTACCTCCCGAAAGAAACAAGAGTCTTGAGTACCACCAAATCTGGCAGCAAACTGTCCACTGTCCATTGGAAATTGAAGTGAGAAACACCCCAGGCCCTCATTGGCCGTTTTACTTGATGGTTCTGCCTGGTTTCATACACTGGATGCTTGTCGTGGAGGCCCTCGCTATTCGATCGGATTGATTGAGGTGTCCCTCTACATTGGCAACCGCTTCCATCTACTCCGTGCGGATGAGATCATCGTGTTTTTGTGGGCAGGCGACCCAGATGAGTTCCCTTCAGCCGCACAGGAGCACTCCCACTGAAAGGGGATATTGGCATTTGACAAAAGTACTGGCAACAGATAAGATCACCCATTTGTCCATGTCCTCATGTCCTCTTGGGGAAACATTCCCAACTTTGTCCAGGGCCATGAGCATACAAACCTAAGACACTTATCACACGCAAGGATTCGAGCCATACCCACAGAGGCTCAAAGAGCCTCGCGAGGCCTTCCAAAGATTGGTGATCCCTCGAAGCTCCACGGCCTTCCTTTCGCGCGGCCTACACCAGGCGCCGGCGACGCGTCCCGGTTCTCCCGTCGCGTCGCGGGTTCGTTTTTTGATGGATGGGCAAGTTGGTCAGGTGCATCACCTGTGGAAGCTGCTCACTGCATCCTCAGAGCTGAGCTTGCGGCGCGCTCGGTGTGTCATTTTTTGGGCTCTTTGATGGCTTAAAGCTTGATGCTCAGGGAATGATAACCATCCCTGGTGGTTTCCTTCAAGGGAATCCCTGGGTTCATTCCCACATTCTCTACTGAGCACCGGCAAGCAAAGGGGGAACCCCAAGGAAGACGTGTGGATCCATCCCCCCAGTTGAAGTCCTCGAGATGTTTTTGCGAAAGCGTAGCGAGGCAGCGCTTGATACAACTCTCTGATGTCCTCAACAGCGTCAGGCATGAGGCGTGGGATGCTCTCTTGTTGTGGGCGGATGTGCGCCAAACTGTCGCTGAACGTGATCAGGGGAAATCTTCACCTCCATTCTGGACTCCCGAATTGGAGGAACTGCAGGAGCTTGCCATTGAGGACCCGCCCGCATGCTCAGATGTTAGTTTCTCGTCATCCGCAAATACGTGAGCCTGTTGAGAGGACTTGGTCGAGTCTGTGCAGTACTGTCAGTCCTAGCCTCGGATGAGCTACGATCAAGCCCAGAATGGTCGAAGGTTGAGGACAGCAGCCAGAAGCGGTTGCGGATTTCATGGTTTAGGGTACTGAGGTCTGACAGCCTTGCCCAAATTCTCGAGATTTGGGCTGGCAGCGAGGCACGGCAAGTGGCCTTTGAGTGCCCAAACCCTCCACACCCCCCAGTCTCCAGTTACGTCCCTGTAAGTGTGACGGTTTACTGCTCATTCGCTAAGCTCGGCGTGTTCTGAGATGCCAATTGCTTGGTGTAGCCTGGGAGGCCTTCTGGCAAGAACACAAGGAATTCGGAGAGGCTATAGCAAAGCGGATGGAGGAGTGTGAAGTCACGCCAGCGTTGTAAGCTGAGTTTGAGTCGCCGAGTTGTGTGTGTGTGTGTGTACGTGTGTTGTTTCGTAGCATGTATGTCAACATGGGCATGCAAGTTCCACGTATTAACATGTTTAGGTCTCAAATAGAGAAAACCCCAAACTCACTGGTTTCCTTAGGTTAGCTTTGCAGCGACACAACGGGTACCCTCATGTCGATCTTCTTGGCGCAATGCACCAGGAGTTGCTCTTGGAGGGCGATGTGAAAGAGATCATTCCTACCATGCAGGCCAAAAATTGCTGTGTCTTTTGAATTCAGTGCGCTTGGATAGTGGCAGGCTGCTTTGGCTGCTCCTGGCCTTGTGAAATCCTTGCCGGAGAGGGCGTTGCAGGCAGAGCGGTTGCGAATTGACTGGCAGGTGATTGGGGCCCGGTAGCCAAAACCATCCCAAAGCTAGGCCATTGGCGTCAGTATCCGGCCATGTGCCCATGGCCCTGAGTTGCTCCGCCCAACCCGACACATCGCCCCCATTCAACCAGTCCCCATCCCACTCCATCTGCCCGCGCTGCCTTCACTCTCCAGGGCCAACTGGCCACACGGCCGTTAGCATTGCATGCCCTCGAAGACCAAAGTTGAGAGAAGTTCTGACACCACCAATGTGACAGCAAGCCTTACACAAGCAACACTCACCGGCAGACTGACCAATGCTTTTAGAGTGACGCCAAGGGGTGTTCTTCTTGATTTGCAAGATGGGTTTCAGTTGATATGGCTGTGGGTCAAAACCAATGGTACCATTTTGGGTAGGTGCACCACCCATTTTAGTCTATTTTGGTGAGGATTGGGATGTTCACTGGGGGTGAGGGATTTTGACCCATTGCCATATGTTGTGCGAAAATGGTAATTGCTCAATGCGGTTGCCTGTGTCTGCATAGTTGGAGTGCAAGATGACAAAAGTTGCTTGCCGGCAGGTACTATCAGCTGCACTGCTTAGTCGGAGCTCTGATGAGTTTGAGCGAGTTGCAACCTCAGAAGCTGGATGAGTCTCACGTGTTGGTGTCTTTTCTGGGGAATTTTGGGTGGCTGCAAAAGGACACCAGCCATTGGCGATTCCTAGGACAAGCTGTTGCTCTGAGGTTCGAGCGGTTCTTTCAGGCAGCTTTTGGGAGGTACTTTGTCCTCCAGGATCTGCAGACATCGGTGTCTCACTTTTTTGCACGAGGGAAACATAACAATCGATGGTTGCTTGAGGCAAGGATTGAGATCTCGCCGAACAGTCCCCGCGCGCTACATTTGACCCTGTGACAAGAATTATATATATATATATATATAATATATATATATATCTATGTATGGGAGTCGTTCTAAATTGCCAGTCTTAAAATTAAGTAAAGGGAGGTTCTAAAGGTCTAGCGCGAAAAGGAAAACACTGCATCGCGAAAGGCCGGCGAAAGGAACGCGAAAGGACTTGAAACATAACGAATACATGGTAAAACCCTCGTTTGGGCTCGGAAACAAATTTTTCAGGACTGGTTTGTCACCGCGAAAGGAAAACATGGGGCCGCGAAAGGACCGCGAAAGGCCGGCGAAAGGACCGTTTCCAGGAACTGTTATGTTGAACAACCCCAATATGCATATGTATATATGTATATACATATATGTGGATTTCTTGACTCAATCTTTCCTGACACAAATCAATCCTTGGTATTGTGCTGATTGCTGATGTGTTTGAGGTACTCTGTCTCTGGGTTCTGCGCGTTGTCCGACCATTAGGTTTGGGATACTGGAGGAGCTGGAAGATCGTCCTCTTCCAGCGATACTGCAGGGTCTCGGCCGAGAGAGTCACAGGCACCAATTTTGTGTGGAGCTTGAGAGGCCAAGCAAGAGCGCCAGAATCAGGGTTCCACTTTTTGACTAGCCCAAGACAGGCTTAAACCCAGGGGTTCCCTTTTCGGGGGTAATGCCCCCCTGGGTTTAAGTCTACCCTAGTCCAAAAGTGGAACCCTGACCCGCAGCGAATTGTTCTTCGGGTCCAATGGGAGCGGCAGGGTCCCTCCGAGTTTCGAGCCTTGCTGGACTCTTGGCGATATCCCAGGACGGCCATTTTGTCAGGTGCCGTGTGTGTTGTTTTTTTTTGTTTGGAGGGGCCGGTGCAGATTGAAAGGGGGTTGGATTGAAGGGAAACCAGCAAGCCGCCCATTTCGAGGGTGTCCCGATGTCGGACATGCTTTGTTTGAAGCAGGACCGAGATGGATCTTGCCCAATTCCTCCGAAAGGCCTGCACCCCAGTTGCGCCCAGCAGTTCAGCGCGTCCTGGTTCGAGGCAACAGCGCTGTGTGGAGATGCCGAAGAAGCGCTGCAGGCCCTCGAGGCGCGACTCCGGATGTGAAGCACAAGAAGCCTCGGTGGCTGCACACTGCCGGTGATGTTGCTTATTCGCCTCCCAGAAGTGAGAGGAAGCTATTCACGGCTTTTGGCCTGTGGTTGGAAGCACGGCAGCTCTTCCAAGAGCACAGAGCTCCAAGGCATGGCGTCACCATGGCCACGTTCCGCAGGCGGCTGCGCCGTTTGCGGAGAAGCTGGCAGCCAGCGCCACTGCAGAGGTGCCGTGCAAGTTGGTCCACAGCCTGCCTCAACTCGTGGCCCGAATTGCAAAAACGTGAAACCCGGTCACGAGGCCCTGGAAACAAGCAACCACCCAACAAGTTGCCCCAAGCTGTTGCTGAGGTGCTTCAGCACTTGGAGCTTCTTTGCCAGAAGATCCTGGCAGAAGACTTGCCTGCATCCAGATTGGCCCGATACTCAGCCCAACTTCGCCTCAAATCAAAAGGGGAATGTTGCGGTTGTTTGGACAAGCTCACCTGGCAAAACGTGAATGTCTGAACGTTCCTTGGGAATTGCTTGTTTCCACTTGTGAATTATCGGACTTTGGGTGTGGCTCAAGATTAGGGACCTAGGAGACTGCAGATGTCTTTGTTTCCATACTGGTTCCTGAAGGTTGGGGGGCCTACCCCTCTTTTGAGCAGCTTCTCACGGTCTGAGGTGTCTGCCCTGCAGGCATGCGCTGCGTGGTGCTCAGATATCAGACAATCGCCTTGGGCCAAAAACCGCTCGCCGCGGGTTTTCTTCGATCCTTCCAGGAAGCCGGGCTGCCGTACGCTCCGCTCTGCTCTGCGGCGCTCAGCTTCGGGGAGTCCACGGTGCTCTCCTGAGCGGCTTCCAAGACAACATTGATGGCTTCCTCGAGCTCTTTGAAGCCTTCCAAGAGTTCACAAATTGAAGGGACACCCGCAAGCTCCGAAAAAAATGGTGCAAACTCATCCCGCTGGTAAATTTGAGAACTCCTCGAAATGCTAGCAGCCACTTTCAGTTGGACCCAGAAGTACTGAGCGCGAAACAATCAAATCCAATTTCTGACATCACGAGTCGGCTTTGTATCAAACTAGCGCCCTCCAAATGCTTGACTTCCTCTTGGTTTCCCTCTAAAGTACACCAAAACCGGTGGTTCCCCCTTCCTCCCACTAACATGGCACCTGTGGAAGGGCATCTGGAAAAGTAATGAGTTTCCCCTAGGGGCCGGGTTTCTGGGCTAGCTGTAGCAAAGCGAAGCAACGAAGCGACGGCACCGAGTGAGGCGTCTCAGGCGCTGCAGGTCTTGGAGTCCTGCTCCAAGCTGCGGCTGGCCGTGCCCGAGCTCCTTGGCGCGGTTTGGGCGGCGCGGGTGGGGTTTCTCGGGGGCGAGGCATCCAATTCCTTAGCCTCTTGGCGCTTGGTGTTTGGTGGGATTTGTCCATTGAACCCACTGAAAGTTAGAGACTTGGAGCGGGGGATGTGAGGACAGCCCGGGTGTTTTTTTGTTTTTTTTACCCCGTTTTCGCAAGGGAAGGGGTCTCAAGAAATCAGCGGGGATGAAGGGTACAACAGAAAACTGGAAGGGATGGCTGGGGGGCATGTCTTGACTCCCCAAGGATCGGTGATCTTTTTGAGGGGTGCCTGCTTTGGGGGATGGCACCAAGATTTGTGCTGTGGTCAAAGGACCGGTTCCGTTACATGGATGGTCATGGACCTCATGGTACCATGGCCAAGAAAGGGAGTGTTTCCACCATGGCACGTTTCAGCAGCGCGCAAATCCCCCAGTTACGGCCAGTTTTGCTGGTGGTTCGGTTCTACTGCCTGGTTTACCTTGCTAAGAAAGCCTGTGCGAGCCTCTACAAGCATACTTAAAAAAAAATACTCGAGCCAAGAGTAATTGGTTGACCGCTCTGGTAGACGTCATTTGGGGAATTTGAACACCCACCAAGCATTTGGGAGGGCATTCCCTATCAAAATCATATGGGACAGTAGTGTATTAGCGCAATTGATCGGGGCAAGTTTGGAGTTGCAGATAGAGAACACTGGCTGCCTTACATCCAACAGTCGGAGTTTGGGTGTGACTCGTGCTGTGGTTGTTGCCGAGGCTGCGACCGTGGTTGATCATGCTGCTCCAAAAGGACCGGTTTTTTTTGGTCGAACAGTTGGCATCGGGAAGCTTGGCCAATGGATTGAAGTGTGGGGGTATGAATTCAATGGGAATATGAATATTTTCCCAAGTGGTTGGCAAATCCAAGCATTGAATCCAACCACTTGGGAGGGTATTGCCAACCACTTGGGAGGGTAACCCCAAACATTGATGATATCCAGTGGAGGGTAACCAGTGGTTGGCATACTAAGGATGATCCACCCACCGCTTGTTCCTGTCGCTCCTCAGGGCCTGGACCGGCAGCTCTCGGCCAATGGCTTGGCACGACTCCTTGCGGCAGCAGGGCGTTTGTCGTTGCTGGAGGCGATGGCCGTGGATCTCACAGTTGATTGATTCGTTGTGTCCTTTTGCTTCAGGACCTTTCGCTTCAAATCAGGATTTGTCTCTAACTGGCATGGCTTTTTTGCTGGTCCATGGTTGATTTGGGGAGGACGAGAAGGGGCGCACCCAACTTTCAACCACAAAAACCACTCAAGTTTGCCCATGATTATGAGGTTTTACCGCTCTGGAACCCCCTTGAAAGCAGTTGGGGGACGCAGATCCCCAAATGATATCCACCTGAGGGTCCCCACAATGCCTCTCCCATGTCTGACTTGGGAACTTGCCTGGCACTTGGCAAGGCTGAGGAAGCGGCTGGAGTCTTGCGCAGGCACGCACCGTGTGGCGCAGGTGTCAAAATCTTGGATTTGGGCCCATGGGTTTTGACCAGTGGCCCGCCCAGTGGCGCAGGCTTGTTACAGTTGCCTCTCCGATTCGGCCAATGCAGCCGGACACCATGGCAGCCCTATGCGTGGGTTTAACCTTGGCACGCGGGAGCCTCAGGGCTTCCTGGCAAAGCTTACCCGTTTGCATTTTGAGGGGTCAGTCGGTGACATGCATGAGCTTACGGGGTTTACAAGTGATGGGCTTGGTTTATAAAAACTTCTGGGACTAACTGAAAGTGGTTACTCGCATTTTAAGGGTTCTCAAAGCTACCTGTGGGTGTAGTTTCCCTTCAAGCGAAGAAGCCCTCCAATTTCTCGGATTCTGCGCAGCTTGCGGAAAGGCAGTTCTGCTTGTGCGCCCAGGGTGGATGCCTTCCACCGGACACCCAGATTTCTGGCAGGCAGGGCAAATGCTCCCAAACACCAAACAGTTGCAGCAGGGCGTAAAGATGGCTGAGATCAACGCAGGTGTCATCTTGGCTGAGCAGCGTAGTGAATCAACCGCTACGACCAGCACAGACTTCCGCATTGCGGAACTTTGTGCGCTGCTCTCAGCATGTAGCTCGTATTCCATATATGATTTTCGAAGCGGGTCATGTACCCAACAGCACCTTGGCATGAAGTCCCAAAGCAATCATTCAGGGCTCCTGTTTTGAGCAAAGCCCCTGCTTGAGAACACAGGGCCTCCATTTACTGAGGCTGGGGCTCATGATTCGCCCAGAGGGCCGCGCGGCTGTGGAGGGTTTGAGACCAGATCTACAGCGCGGAATCGCCCGGCGCTTGGAAACGACTCTGGGGAAATCGCCATGGGTCAAAGTCCAACTTGTACCCCCAGTGAACATCCGATTCAATCCAACCACCAAAATAGGTCCTAAAATGGGTGGTGAATTCACCTACCCCAAAAAATTGAAACCCAATGGTTTTGACCACAGCCAAATGTGTTGGCCCTGGGTTTCAGTCTACCTTGGGAATATGCAAACTTCGGTCCCGGGAAACCTGTGCAGATGAGTTCTCTAACTCGTGGCTTGGGTCGAAAGACCGCCACTTAGAGGGTAGCTTCATCTCCGTCTATGGCCCCAGAGAGCGGCGCTCCAAAGGGTGGCACCCCATTCCTGATCCGGATTCAATGCGGAGCCCGGAAAGTGAGAGATCGCGAGCAGTTCAACCCACGCGTGAACATGCTTGTGTTCTCATGTGGTTGCCCTGCCCCGATGCCAAGCCCCCTTCAACCTGAGATCGTCGAGTTTAAGTAGCAACCAACCCTACCCATGGAATCGGTTTCCCCGTTGGGACCAATGTTCTTGAGGCATACGTCCTTGGAATTCAACTCGGATCAACCGCCTTCTGAGGCCCAAGCTGCGCAGGGCTTGGCACACCGACGCCCTGTGTCTGACACCACCTTGAAGTTCCGGCACGAGGCGTCGAAGAAAGCCTTCTCTAACGCGCACAAGAGTGACAGTCGTAGATGTGTGCGATATACCGTGCCGTATATGATCTACATATATCAGGGTGGCCACGCTCAGGTTCGGTTCGGTTCGGTTTCTGAAACCTTTTGAAAACCTTTCTCCGGTTAGTGGCGGTTACTCATAACCTTCCAAAACCTGCCGGTTTGCACGGTTAGTGCAGAAAAGTAAGATAAGGCTCTAGGTAACTCAGTCTGCTTTCGCCCACACTTCGCCAACTTCCACATCTCTGGCATCGCCATCCATCTGACATCGCCATCCCACACCACACACACACAGCCACAAACAAACACAAACAAACAAACAAACAAACAAGCAAGCAAGCGAACAAACAAACAAACAAACAAACAAACTCACAAACACAAAAACAAACAATCGAACCATGCCACTGACTGATGCTGAGCATGTTGTTCCGCGCACGTGGCCTTGGGAAGCATCTCAGAAGTCAAAGCTCAAAAGCGGAAAAAAAAACAAGTCACTCACCGCTGATGGGTCACTTTTTTTGCTTGCCAAATTTCAGCGGTGTTTCGTGTGTTGCGAGCACTGCGGAAGCAAAAATCAGAACCAGAAGCGGCCAACAATGCGGGTTTGTTGCCTTGACGCGTGCAGCAAAGGGGCCTCAGCTGCGGTGGCCTGCTAAGCGTGCCAAAAGTTCTGGCAATCAGGCTGGTGAGGCGTTGGGGAACGGCAGGGCAGGCCCAGGGCAATGCGGCAAGGCGCCGGGAGAGCAAGCCCTTACAGTGACAGCGGGCAACTCAGTTTTCCTCCCGTTCGGCCCGCGAGAAACTGTTCCAATCCAAGCCGGGCTGCGCAAAGAAAACAACCCACTGACCGTCAGTAAGTTGTTTTGTTGGCGCTGCTGGCGCAGCCAGGCTGCAACAGGGTGCTCGGGCAACCTGCGGGAGCAGGGGGAGTTGGTGAGACAGGTCAGGTTGATGCTCGGACATGTAGCTATTCCGAGAGTCCAGGCAAAGTTTGCGAAATCCCCTTGCTGCCGCTTTGGAACGGGATCCCGTCGCGGTACTGTCGGCGATGCTGTCTGCGCCAAAGCCGTCACTGACCGCTCGTGGGCCGTTTTTTTTGCGCGGTGTTTTGTGTGTGTTGCGAGCACTGCGGAAGCAAAAATCAGAACCAGAAGCGGCCAATAATGCGGGTTTGTTGCCTTGACGCGTGCAGCAAAGGGCCCTCAGCTGCAGTGGCCTGCTAAGCGTGCCAAAAGTTCTGGCAATCAGGCTGGTGGGGCGTTGGGGAACGGCAGGGCAGTCTCAGGGCAAGGCGGGAAGGCGCCGGGAGAGCAAGCCCTTAGAGCAGCCCAAGAAAACAAGATCACTGACCGCTCGTGGGCCGTTTTTTTTTGCTTGCCAAATTTCAGCTGTGTTTCGTGTGTTGCGAGCGCAAAAATCCGAAACAGAAGCGGCCAATAATGCGGGCTTGTTGCTTTGACGCTTGCTGCCCCTGCAAACCTGGGGACGGTTCGGTTTCTGTTCGGTTCGGCTCGGTTCGGTTTGTGGTTTGTTTCCGGTTTTCTTGCGGTTTTGAAAACCGGTTCGGTTTTCAACCTTCCTGATATATATATATATATATATATGTACACAGCATCATGTATGTGTATATATACATGCATATTCACATATAAAGAGAGCGAGCGAAAGAGAGAAGGGTATGTGCAACATAAAATATACTGAAGCGGTGCAGATGATCATGGGTTTTTGTCAGGCAGCAGAAGTCTTGAGGAGAGCTGGCCAGCAAGAGCCCAAGAATGGCCTGTCAGCGTGTCACTATGGTCATACCTTTTTGACGGTATCCCTTGTCTCGGGCGGTGAGAAAGAAAACCACGTCGACAACGGCCACGATCCCAGGCTCTATGACCTGGACATCAGCAGGGCGCTTTGATCAGGGGAGCCATGGGAAGCTTTGACCCGTCCTTTCTGACCCCTCGACTATTTGTCATTGCTTGTTCGGTTGCATTGGCTTGGCTTTGAATCATAGGAATATGCGCCCGGATGGCACCCGCACGAATTCCGCACGAATCGAGGTTTGGGTGTTGGCTTTGTGGATCTGGCGGGTTCCTCAGTTGACGAAACATGAGCCGCATTTTTCACATGGGTTTGTGTGAATGGGAACCCCTCAAAATGGTAGTGAACCCCTTTGTGTCTTCCTGTCAAACAACCCTCAACAGGGGTGCGACATTTGTCATTCACGTTTGTGGTATGTCTTTCTTTAAAACGGGCACCCGTTTTCGGTGTTTCAAAGGGAAGCAACGAAAACCACCTTTGGGCTCCCCCATTTTGAGGCCTGAGTGGTACCCTCAAGCAAAAAAAATGCCCGCATGTGCGTCTGTTTCTCAAACTGGTGGACTTGGGGCAAACCACAACTTGAAGCCGGTGGATGAGTTTGGCCGATTCACCTCAGGCCGTGCCTGGGCAGGACGGCGCGCTGTGGCTGCTGGATGGCCCCGAGGTCCAGCCGGACTTGTGGCGACCAGGTCTTGGAACCCCTGGGAAACTCGCCATTCTCGTTGTTTTGGGGGTGCCCCTTGTGGCTGTAATGGGAGAACCCCGCCATTCTTTGAGTCCCTCTAGTTTGGAACAGGGTTTTGGATTCCAACCATTCTTTTCAACCATCGTTCTTGCCAAGAACCGGCCGTTTTCCCTGGGTTTCCGGAGGTTTTCTAGAAAGAAGGATCCCTGGAAAGAATGGAAATGGAAGGTACCCCCGGGGTGCTCCTTGTGGCTTTGGCGGGAAAAAAACCGCCTTTCTTTGGGTCCCTCGATTTTGGCACACGTCCATGTATGGCTCCGTTAATTACTCCATTTGGGTTTTTTGGGAGACCCTCGTTTTGGTGCTCTGGTGTCAAAGGCAACCTGAAGGAAAGCTGGGTTTTTGGGAGTCCCGTCATTTTGAGAGATAAACCCATTCACCCTTGGAGAAGACTAGAAAGTCGATCTGGACCCCCTCTCCGGGGGGGGGGGGATTTCTCGACTTGTCAAACGTCTTTCGGAGCCAGGCGTTCTGCAGACCCTTCCAGAGCGATGGGGCGAAGACCAAGTTAGAGCTGGTGCTCCAGCGGCATTTGGCTGTCAGTCAAAACCGATGTAATCCCATTTTGGGGTAGGTGCACCACCCATTTTAGCCTATTTTAGTGGGGATTGGGATGTTCACAGGGGTACAATTTGGATTTTGACCCATGGCCATTTCTGTGGAGATCGGAGCTCTGCGAGTTGTTCAAGGTCTCAGCGGAGAAGTTTCGCTCGGAGCTGTTCTTGGCCGTGCTGCAACCGGGCCGGGCCCTTGCAATGGAATTGGCGGTAGCGGTCCTTGTGTTTTTCGCTGCAGGAGCGGCACGAGAGATGGTCGCTCAGCTGCAAGGTTCATTTGGGGTGTGAAATAGTGGCCCGCTTGAAATAGAGGTTGTTTCCGCTGGGTGTGCCTTTAAGCAGAAGAACCAAAAGGGGTCCCAAATCCAGTTTGAGAAAGCCCTATGTGGTTCCGGCATTCGACCCTGTGAGGAGGCAGCAACGAGTGCGTGGTATGGAGATGCCGACAGGTGCCCGAAATGACATGGCTCATTGCTCGCATTTGGCCTGACGCCAGGCCTGCAAAGTTCGGCCCTGAAAATGTGGCGCGCCCCAGTGCATTGGCGCAGGTGACAATGCCATTGGTCTACTATTGGTTTGGAGAGGACATGGGGGACAACACAAATGTCCCACGAATGCGGGGGGAACATCAATCTTTTATCCAATTTGCCCATGCCAAGAAAAGGTGTCCCGGGCTCACATGACCCAGGCATTGTTTGAAAACGTATGAGGCTCAGACGAGATACCCCTGGATGGCTGGCCAGGAGGCCAGTGTGACTGTGCCACCCCATGCCACACGGTGCCCCTGTCACTCTCCCTATGTCATTTTGTTTAGCATTGCCAGCATCATCATCAACTGCTGTGAGGAAGGTGAACTGGGCATACACAATAGATTACCAGACTACCGCTAGCAAACAAGAGTTTCTCTGTCAAATCTGATTGGGCAGCACGACTAAATGATAACTTGATTGTTTGCTCATTGGAGTGACAGGTGCGGCTTGCCCGGCTAGATTGGCATCATCCTCAGAGGGCGGTATGTGCAGGCCAAAACAAGTGACAAGGTATGTAGCTGTTTTATTCGTCGGCAAGATCCTTCTACGTTCCCAGCGGCGGTTGGTCTAATGAGTGTAAGCTGCGCTTGGAGACTTTGCCTTTGGTGGTCAATTTCATCGCCTCAGCCGGGAATCCGTGCTCTAGCAGATGACTCGATGATGTAATTCTCCGTTGGTCTGATTGCGCCAAGAGGGCATACGATAGACGTGCTCGTTTGACTCTCGCCAGAGGCCATGAAATGAATGCAACTGACCCTCGCAAGGAACACACATACAGGCGTAGATCCATGCGGCTCGTGACCTGTTATTCTCACAGCTTGCGTTTGGCACTGAGAGCCAGACTGCTGCATTCATGTTCCCATCAGCGCAGCCGCTGGCAAAACAGGCGCTGAAAATGCGTGCCGGCTCCAGAATCTGAGTTGCAGAGCCGAATAGTCAAAATGATTCTGGAATGCAGCCACCGGCTATCATCACTTCTACCTGCAAAGCAACGGTGCACGTACAGTAGTCGCTGCAAGTAGCTTTGGAGAGGACGCTCTGAGTCTCGGAACATGAACGGGAAGTTTGGCCAGGCGAACCAGGTGAAACACACATAGCCTGGCATAGCCTGCGTCACCAAGGAAGTGTTCCAGAATCAAAAGAAAGGAATACAGCAGTAGTACGGCCGTTTGCCACTTAAATTGCTCGAGACAGCGCATCTATGCTTCAAATCTAGACCTAATGGAGCTGATGAGCTCATGTAAAGGTGGCGAGCATGAAAGACTGTCAAAGTCCCTCCTAAATGTTCTCCTTTTTTCTAAAGGGTAACCAAATGGAGGCTGCCCATGTCGGGGTTCTGCGTGGAGACAAGCCCATGCATGTATTGTGTTCAAGAGAGGGCCTGCCTAGTCGGCCTGGGACCAAGGTTAGAATGGGGGCGCCTGCCTTCGCAAGCACGACTCGGTGCACTTGTGAAGCCTCAGCCCCGCATCATCGGGAAAAATATGGTTCTGAGGCGAGTTCTCACCAGTGCGTCATACAGCGCATGGGTCTCCAAATTGGGGGGAGCCCGAAAAAGTGCTTGCTTTCCCGGTGAAATAATCCCGAAAAGGGTACCCTCATCAGCGGTTGTTTGGAAGTTATGGAGATTGATTCGTACCAATGAACAAACAGATGATCAAAAGCTCGCATTCTGCAGCACGTCATGTTTGCACAACGCATGTTATGTCTCGCACTGCGTTTGCTTTTGGCTCTTGAGCCACAACAACTAGCAGGGCAAAGCTGATCGCAAGTTGCCAAAGCCGCGCTGTGCTTAGCAATGCAGCTGATGCCTAGTGGGAGGCTGTGTGACGCGACTGCGTGCGGTTGCTTTTTCAAGGTTCGATGGCGACAAAAGCTTCAAGCGCAGGCGGAAAGCCTTTGGCTTGGACTCAAGGGTTCCATTGGTTGGAGATGCCAGAGACTTAAACCCAGGGGTTCCCTTTTTTAGGGAAATCAGCATCTACTACCCCTGGGCTTACGACCTTGGGGTAATCAATCAATGGAACCCTGGGCTCAAGATTCATGGTAAGGTCGCCACGTGTGCATCATGCTGCCAGATTGCAGAATAGTCCACGCATGCATCTAGCAGGTTGCTTTGCCCTGACGATCCTTCTTTTGGTGGCACAGCTGCAGAGATGTGGCAGATTATTTTTGCGGGCGAGGAAGGTGGAGCAATGTTGAGAACAGCATGTTGTGCATCCAGGCTGACCGTTTTTAGCTGCAAGTGACAATCACTCACATCCGCTTGATCAGGGTTGGTGTTGGCCACAGATTTGATTGGCCATTTCATTCTTTACATGCCAAGAGCCAGATTGACATGCTAATTCAAGGCAAGCAAGCAAGGCGTCAATAGGTGTGAACTTTGGAGCTATGAGGTTGGCCTTGGTCTGCGCCTGAAGGAGATGCAAGTTGGGCACTTCATATGGCTGTGGGTCAAAACCAATGGTACCATTTTGGGGTAGGTGTACCACCCAGTTTAGTCTATTTTAGTGGGGATTGGGATGTTCACTGGGGTGTGGGATTTTGACCCATGGCCATATCAGGGATGCCTCCAAGTGTGGCTGGATTCAGCGAAGGCACAAGCGACATGAATCCCGTGACGCTCGCGGGCGAATCAGGACACGCCTCAGTTCCCGGAGCGAGCTCTCCGCTCACAGGCATCCGGACAGCTTATATGGCTATGGGTCAGAACCTATGCCTCCATTTTGGGGCGGATGAACACCCATGTACCACCTATTTTGATGTTCACCAGGGGTACAGGGTTTTGACCCACAGCCATATGCTTAGGGGCAAAGTAGGCGTTTAATATGCCGTGTGCCATGGAATGCAGGAAGGGCAGAGCATCCTCAGAAGGGAGCGGCCGACTTGGACAATCAACACGGAAGCCAACGAAACCATTCAGGCGGTGCGCAATGCGAGGGTTGACTGCAAACGTGTGCAAGTGTGCTCGCAATTGGCATGCGAGCAGTGTTCTTGAGCTCTGGGAGGTGGGCCATTCGCATCTGAGTCATGGCATTGCATCAAACATCACCAACACCGAGGCAGAGTTTCACAAGAAGCTTACTGATGTGGTGTGCAGATTTTCCGAGCCATTTGTTTGGTGTGTTCCAACACTGCCAGGCTGCCAGTAACGGGCCACTCATCCCGCCTGAGGCACGCGACAGGGAGACGTGTGCTAGTTGGAGAATCCTTCTGCTAGGATGAAGTTCACTCGCTGCTGAGCCTTGAGGCATGGACACACACACACACACATGGCTGTGGTTGTCAAAACCAATAGGATCCCATTTTGGGGTGGGTGCACCACTCATTTTGGTCTATTTTAGTGGGGATTGGGATGTTCACTGGTATGGGTTTTTGACCCATGGCCACTTGTCAGACCCTGCATTGAAAGTGCGCAGCGGCTTGAACTTTGCCGCCCGCATAAGGTGCAACTTGATGATTGCCATTGTCCCTCGGTGCTGAGTGGCTCCAAAGGACCCGCCAAGGGCTCGGAGGGCTCGAGCCTGGAGCACCGATGTGTCCTCATGGGCGCTGAGACTGATCGCCGACTCAGGTCAATCTCGAGTGCGTGCAGAAGTGCTCCAGCCGCTTTGACGGCAAGGATGCGTGCAGCTGTTTGAGTAGGCTCGCAGGGTAGCGATATGTTTCTAAGATTCGTGCAGCCACACATGTTATACTGTCCAAGTAATTAGTACATTGCATGGTTGCAAGGAGTTGCAGAGCTGCCAGCATGGGTTGATATTTGCAAACGCGGCTAGACAGGCTTGATAGTCAAACGTGTATGTAGGCACGTATATTGCCAGTAAGGATCGGGTAGATTGAAATGGTATTTGTAGCTTGTCTCTCGATTGATAACTCAAAGGTTACTACTTGCCACGGTGTGGCTTTGTTTTTCAGCTTTGGGCTGGGCCAATCCATAACGGCACTTGCCGTTTGATTTGCAATCGTAATTCAAACGGGTTTGTGTCAAAGGAGGGGACCCCCAAAATGGGCGGTGTCCCAAAAACCTTAAGCTTCAGCACTAACCTGCTACGTTTTTTTCCACTGCATACTGCGGACGAGTCGCTGATTTGCAAGTGACTAATGCGAATGCCCAGGTGCTGTCTACCACGCTGCAAACACGAGGCGGGTGTTGCCCGTGCTCCGAAGCGAATCTGATCGCTTGGAAGGCAGCATGTTCACCTTCAAGACGGACCGCTCGTTCTATCCGATCACAATGAGCTTTGATGCCTGGCCGATGGTAGCGTTAGCATGCCAGAGCATGCAGTGCATGGAATCCAAAGGCGCGTGGCTTGGTGACACGCCAAGCTGCCATTGTTGCATGAGTTTGCTGGGGGGCTCATACGCCGAGCAGCAGGTATACATCTGACAGTGCAGAGCGCATGCAGAGGGCATGCGTGGCCGTGCTTCAAGTTAAAATGTGTTGGTGAACATGCTCGCTTCTGTCACTGTCCCTGGGGTGCGGTCAATAGTACTAGGGTTTCAGACGCTGCAGCTTGCCCTTCTTGAGTTCCAACAATGTCAACTACATCTTGACACTTTGTGTGAAGCTGTTTGGTACAGAAGCTTGAGTAAGACTGAGCATGATGAACTCGTTTTCTTTTGCCATTGTCAAATAGAATCACGCAGTTGCTCTTCAGGGTGTGGCTCAGGACGTTTAGGAAAGCCGGTGCGCTTGACTGATGCCGCCAGCATCGGCGCAAGTGCAGGCCGCGTGCTTGAGGCCTGATGGGTCGCTGTGCAGCATCCCCATCTCCTTGCGGAACTTGGTAGTAACGGGCACCAGCAGCATGGCGGAGTGCGGCGAACGCTTGGCTCAGCAGTTGAGCTTCGGGCATTTTGCTGTGCCCGGTGATGTGATGAAACCTGAGGTGCGCCTGAGCGAGGTCGCGGGTGTCAGTGTCATGGTTTTGCAGATGCGAAATCTAGACAGAGGCTACTTGCTCGCCGTCAGGCCCAGCAAGGGCCTGCCGCCCTTTCCAGAGAACACCGTGGCAAACAGGATGCTGCACAATCAGCAGCTGCGGGTCTTCGGATGCGCTTTGGTGATGCGTCATACCTACTCAGCCCAGACAGCGACGAACAGCTACATTCCCGTCTCCATTGCAGATGCCAACGCCTTGATCCAGGCGTTGCCTGGTAGCGCTGCGCTTCTCGCAGAGGCTCAGAAGCTTGCAGCAGCACGGAAGGCAGAACGAGAGCTGGTGCAGGAGTTCACCGCCAGGCCGCTGGGTGAATCGGCGGCTGCGGCCGCCAAAGCTTCAGGTCAAAGCTTCAGCCTGCGCTCCTTTGGGATGACTTCCGGCGGATCGGCTGCAAGAGATGCAGCATCACTGACAGCAACAGCTGCGAAAGCCTCGGCAAAACCAGCCCCGAAGGCCCAGCCACCAGTCGCGAAGCCCACGTCGCATCCGACGCCTGCGACAGCCCAGCCCAAGGCCTCGCAAGCCCCGCCCCCGGCTGCAAAGGCCAAGTCGCCTGTTGGAGCTGGCACCAGCCGCTTGCCAGAGCCTTGCCCCATTTGCGCCAACACTTACCAGCTGACTCGTCACATGAAGCAGAAGGCCAAGTGCTGCAAGCAGCGGGTCTGCTCTGAGTGCAGCACGGAGGTCTTGAAGCTCGCTGGCGAGAGGCGTGCGCCCTGCCCCTTTTGCCGTCACAGGCCGTTGGAAGTGCAGACAGCATCGGACCTCGAGGACGAGCCGGAGGTTGAAGAAGCGCGGCAAGCCCGTTTCTTGGCGTTCCCAGCCATATTTTAGGGACTGTTAGAGCTTGTTTTGACATGATTTGAAAGGATTTGAAATGAAAATTGGAGTGGCACGTATGACAGATTGGAGAAAGTCATTCTTTTAGCACGGGATCAAGCAACCACCCAGGTTTGGCTGAAGATCGTCAGCTGGCCCAGGTCTTGCAGCACATTGAGGACGAGGGTATGGAGACCTTTGCCAGCCGCCTTCGCCAGAATCGCCAGAATCCGACCCGTCCAGCCAAAACATGGCTGTCCGTGGCACACGAAGGCAGAGTCACGGCCCTTGAGGCGGAAGTGGCGCAGCTGCGCGCCTTGCTCGGAGCTCGGCAAGCCATGCCTCGCGTGAGCTCAACTTCCGGGTCCAGCGCCACCAACCAGGCCTCAGGCTACGCACCGGCGCTCAAGACCGTACTTTGCCGGTACTATGAGGCGGGCCGTTGCTCACAAGGATCTGCCTGCGCGTACGCTCACGGGAAGGGTGAGTTGCGGCGGGCAGACTCCGCACACGGCACACCTGCCACCTACAAGACCCTGCTTTGCGAGTTCCACGAGAGGGGCATGTGCAGGCGTGGCTCCCAATGCACTTTTGCCCATGGACGCAATGAGTTGCGAACCACATCAGGGCAACCGCAAGGAGCTAGCGGTGTCGCTGTGGTGCATGGCAGTGGCTCGGCATCTGCACTTCGACGTGAACCTGCCAACTACAAGACCCTGCTTTGCGAGTTCTACGAGCGTGGGTCTTGCAAATATGGCTCCCAATGTACCTTCGCGCATGGACGCAATGAGTTGCGAGCCACATCAGGGCAAACTCAAGGATCCAGCAGCGCAGTGAAGACTTGGCTTGCAGCACGTAGTCTTTGTTGTCAAGCAGGGCTGGGCACACTCCCTGCCCGCAGCATGGAGGGACAGACAGAGATCGCTGCGTGGCGCCAACGCTTGCAAGATGCCAAATCTGCCAGGCAAGGATTCGCTTTCCCAGCATCACTCAGTCCAGCGGATCGCAAGGTCATACATTTGCTTTGCGAGGAGCTTGGCATTGTGCATGAATCACGTGGCGAAGGCGCCGACCGTCGCATCCATGTCTCTTTTGAACGTGCCTCGAGCCATGGGTCCAATCACAGCGATTACGAAGATTACGATGACTTCTTTGACAGCTACGGCTATGACCCGGACAGCCTGAGTGATTGACTTGGCCTATGCATGAGCAGTTTGTTGAATCGGAATGGAGTACGGCTATCTGCTAGCGTGGGATAGTCTTGTAGTCCACCTCGTTTCAGCGCGTGGCCGAAGCTAAAAGTCCGAGCCAGGAAAGATGAGCTCAATGCATAGGGAGGGTCTCGGCCAATCAAGGCTTTGGAAGGCTGGCTGAAATGCCTTTTCCACCATGGTCGCAGTTTGCGCTTGATCACTGGTATCGCTGGCCGCGATTGTTTGCAAGCAATCCATCCAAGTGAGATCAAGTGCTCAAGTCAGCCGCACGTCATGCCACCGTAAATAGTAGTTCAAGCATGTGCCAAATCAAAAAGAGATGTCGTGCAGAATCAGGATACCGAACTCATAGCAGAAAGCGTAGCTTTGCGCACGGTAGCGCAATGGAGCTGTTTGTGCCGGTTTCTTTATCACGCGCCCCTTGCGTGAGGGGAAACTACTCTGTTGGTGGAAGCAGCAGCAGCCGCTGCTACAGCAACAGCACAAGCCAAGGTGCCTACGCAGCAGCCTTGGTGTGTGCTGCGCTGGCAAGCCGACGAAGTGGGCGTTGCCTGCGTGCTGTTGCCACGCGCCAGCCAATGGAGAGGGGCGAGGTGCTACCTGCACAGCCTGTGCCAGAAGGCATTCCGGCGCCTCCTTATGTGTCCGACCCCGACAAAGTTCGAGGATGGTGGAACTCGCAAATCGCGCGGAAGTCGGATGAAGATGTGGAAGCCATGCGCCGTGCAGGGAAGCTGGCACATTCAGCTTTGGACCTGGCTGAGCAGTTGATCCAGCCTGGCATTACCACTGAGGAGATGGACAAAGAATTGCACGCCTTCATTTGTGATCATGGAGCCTACCCAAGCGACCTGCAGTACAAAGGCTTTCCCAAGAGCGTCATGATCAGCATCAACGAAGCTCCTTGCATCCATCATCAGCTCGATGCTCGGGGGAAGCCAGTCATACGACCGGCAAAAGCAGCGTCCGGGTTATGATCCCAAAGTCAAAAGAGCCATGGTCCCAGGTGATCCCTTGAGACTTGAATGACAGCAAGCAAGACTGAGCCCACCTTTCTTTGGTTCAGCCGATGTGTTGCCAAACAAGTGGCTGTCTTTGCAACTACCTCTACAAAGTTCGCTTGTCTCAAAATGGTGGACCCCCGGATTCCAAAAAGGAAAACGTCCGAAAATGTTCGGGGATGCCTGTGAGCGAGCCCCCCCCCCATTCCCCCCATTCCACCAGACTCCGAGGTCATTTGTCACGGCATCCCAGACACGCGGGCGCTGGAGGATGGCGACCTGGTGAACGTGGATGTCACCCTGTACCTCGGGGGCTTTCATGCTGACACCGCGCGCTCCTGGATCTGCGGAAAAGGAGATGCCACAGGCTGGGCAACCCCCCAGAGCGATTGATGTGTCAAAATAGGGATTTGAACCCCCCAAACTGGATTTCGGTGTTCCTTTTGGCTTTCCTCGAGGTTGTTGGGGGCTGAGAGCCAGGGCGTGGTCCTTGGCTCGGAGAAAACAAACATCATGGGGAAGTGGTTTATGTTTTGCTCTTGAAAAAGCACAAGCCACGAGTTGTCCAACCTGCGGTCAGGTGACCGGTTGGTGGCTGCAACACGGGAGGTGGGATGCGTTGAGCAGCTTCTTGTGACCCTGGGCGTCCTATTTTGGAAAGATGCGCAAAAGTTTCTGAACCAAGCCCAGTGAAGTTCCCCGATGTTCACGCAAACTTAAAGGACACCTATGGTCAACACCACACGGTAAGACCACAGGCCTTGGATTCTGCGATCGGAGTTTGTCGAGCTGGGGCTCCACTGAAAGCCATCGGCGATGCGGCCAGCCTGACATGTTCCCTTGGGCAGCTTCTCTGGAACATGCTGTGCCGGTTGGAGGATGTTGGGACCAGATTGTCACTGCCAGGTGGCTGAGGTTGCTGAACGTGAAGATTTCGGCATCGTGAAGACGTTGGTGGGCCACGGAATTGGCGAATTCTTCCATGGGGTGCCACAGGCCCTCACGGGTGGGTCTGTTTTGAGACCTTTGGTAGGAGACCGTTGCCATTTTGGGGGGTCTCCTCATTTTCAGACCCGGAAAGTCGAGGACTTGATAAGAGCACTGGGCATATGTACTGTCACCTGAGTCGGGGAAAAAAAAAAAAAAACGTTGTATGTGTCAATGTCAGGCATGATCCCAGGTCTTTTGGACCTATCAAATTAGCTGCACCGCCGCTTGTAATTTGAATGGCAGGAGTGTGTTGCAGGAGCGGCCGCGCAAGTCAAACATGGGGCCGCGCAAGTAAAGCGCAAGTGAAGCGCAAGTGACGCAGTGATGATTCATCATCATCATCATCATCATCATCATCATCATCATCATCATCATCATCATCATCATCATCATCATCGCATGGTCGAAAGAATCCGGAAGATTGCTAAATTTTCGCGCAAGTCGCGCGCAAGTCGCGCGCAAGTCGTAGATGCCTTGGATCAGGAGTGGCCCAATTCTGTAGTTTGCATTTTCTTTGTTTCTGCAGATCCCGGCAATGAGTTGCAGCAGCAGCCACCAGCAGCAGCAGCAGCCAGCAGCAGCAGCCGCAGCAGCAGCAGCCAGCAGCAGCCGCAGCAGCCAGCAGCAGCAGCAGCAGCAGCCAGCAGCGGCCAGCAGCCAGCAGCCAGCAGCAGCAGCCAGCAGCAGCGGCAGCAGCAGCCAGCAGCAGCAGCCGCAGCAGCAGCCAGCAGCAGCAGCAGCAGCAGCCAGCAGCAGCAGCCAGCAACAATTTGCAGCGGTGTACACACCTGAGACCTCATACACTTAAGGGGCATGTTTTTGGGGGACCTCACTCTTATGAAGACCGCCGCTTGGATTTGCAATGAAAACATCCTGGGATAAGAGTTTTAATACGGGTTTTTTTTCCAGCTCACCTGAAGTAAAGGGGATGACAGGTAGTACACTCGCCAAATCGTCATGCGGAAACGGGGGTTACTCACCAAACTTTAGGAAGTGGCCAAACTACAATGACCGTGGCTCACCCACTGCGTGCAGATATTTCACTGCCGCAACAGTGACAACAGGAAGATGGAGGACGGGCTACAGGCTTTGGGCCTTGCGAGTTGGGACGCGAGCCATGGAAAGCGATCTCCTTGTGTAACATGGCACATCGAAGCTTGATGGTGCTTAATGATGGAATGATGGAATGACCCGGGGGTTCCCCTTAAAGGAAACCACAAGGAAAGACAAGGTATGGTTTGTAGGGGTCATTCCCTCGTTCCCTGCTGAGCACGGCAAGAGAGGCGCGAGCAAATTGGGCTCAACTTGGTTCGGGAACAGGCTTGTGGGTCAAGGGGGATCATCCCCACTGTGATACAAATGAGAAAATACATGAAAATCCTCTATGGGGGGGTTAGTCTTGGCCCTTTTCGTTGTATCACAGCAGTCCTTTTCGCCCTTCCAGGAGGGCACCACCTTCACCATCGAGCCCGTGCTCACGGAAGGAACCCCGGGGCCTGAGATGGAGAGTCGAAGGGGGAAGTGAAGCGACCGTCCACCTCCCCTTCGATCAGCGGATGTTCTTTTGAATCTTTTTGATGGAACTCCTCTAAGGTCCGGCACTTCCATGATTGGCAGGGTAGCAACCAGTTGAGCACGATCAAAACCGGTAAGTGAAGGTTAGAAAGGGACGATCCCGACAAAAAATAGCTGCAGATATCCGGCTTCTTTGTTCTTGAAGCATGGTGGGTCGACCATTTTTGTACCCGGGTTTGATTATGGCTCATCTGAAAACTGAAAGACTGGAAGTGGCTGCAGTTCAGGGCTCGACATGGCCATGGGTTGCATAACCTATGGCTCCATTTTGGGGTGGATGAATATCCCATTTGCCAGCTATTTTGAGGTTCGCCAGGGGTCAGGCTTTTGACCAGCCACATTACTTTGGGCCCCGGTGGTGTCTCACGACTTGTCCACTCGCTTCACGCAAGGAGCGGCCGAGTGGGTGACCTGGGACGATGGATGGACGGTCGCAACCAAAGATGGCGGGCGCGCTGCCCAGTGCAGATCTCAGTCGATCTCCGGGCTGGTGTTTGACATGTGGCTGTGGGTCAAAATCAATGGCACCATTTTTGGGGTAGGTGCACCTCCCATGTTAGTCTAATTTAGTGGGGATTGGGATGTTCACTGAAATTACGGGAGTTTGACCCATGGCCATGTGTGCCAGAGTCCAGGGTTCAATTGTTTGACGACCCCGAGGCAGACCTACACCCAGGGGTTTCTCTTCTGCCAGCCACAACTGTAGACATGGTCAAAACACACCTTTTACTTCTGGTCAGTAGGGATTGTCGGATGGTACGAACGGGTGGACAACCACCGTCAAGGTTCGGATGAAGGGTATGATTTCTTGGGGGGGTTCTGGACATGGGGATCTAGCATTGAGGATTGAAGCGAAATCACCCAGGTTTGAGCACACGATTCTGATCACTGCTGATGGCTGCAAGGCGCGACCTAGAAGTAGGGTTTTTTCCTCCTGAATTGGCAGGTGTCCTCTGGTTTCGTTTCCAAGCAGAACAACCCAAAAAGTCCGTTATCCACAAACAAGACCTACCCTCAGGAAGCGACAAAGCTGTGTGCCAGGTGCTGACATAGATCACCTTCAGATGGAGGCGCGCGCGCTCGTGGCACAGCCAATGTGGCCATGTGCCATGGGAACAGCCGGAAAAAGACAAAGAAAGATTTGTTTGCATGGTTTGACTTGTTGGAGGCCCTTGTTGAAGGGAAGCAAAATTGGAAAATTACCCTTTGATTCCTTGTTTTTGGGAGTCCCCTGTGTGAAGACATTCCCATGTGCGGCAGGTACGAGTGAGAGCCTCGTCATTTTTCGCACATTTCCTGATTCTTCAAGGTGCAGGCACCTGCAAAGCTGCAGATAGAAAGTGTGGGCTTTACGATGTGCACAAATTTCAAGTATCAATGCGGGGGCCTGTTTTTGAAGGCGCACCTTTCGGGGGTTCAAAGGGAAAGCCAAAAGCAAAACCAGCACTTGTGGGGGGCCCTCAAAACACGCGTGCGCACACACGCGCACACACACACACACCCATGTATGGCTCCCGGGCATGGTAGCCCTAATCCATTGGCACAGAGGTACGTTAGGGTCATATGGGGTGGTGCGGTTGCAGGATTTGCTGGGAACTTTTCATGAACCTGGCGCTCCTGCATACGTTGCAACACCTTTGCCAGTTGAGTCGATGTTGACATCCTGCCATGCCATCCCTGGACACTTGCGCGGCAATGTGTGTGTGACAATGTGAGAGCATGATGCGCAGAATCTTGCTTACCGTGACAGGGGCAGGCGACTGCCTGACTTTGTCAGACGTCACGGGGTCGTCAGCATTGCATGGAGCTGCTTGCTTCTCGTCGCAACTGGTGATGCTTTCCACACTGTGCGCGTTCATCGCCTTTGCAGCCACAACAACCATCAAAGCAAGCTGTGCTCGGCCGATTGCACAAAAGGCAGCAGCCTCAGCAGCTTCGGACACAAAGTAGCTCTATGTCCTTTTCGAGTCCTGTTAGTTACGATTGAATACATGGGGGTGGTTTCAGTTGTTCAGTGTTGGTCTAATCATTTGCAAGTGGCGGTGTTTGGCAAGGGACTGCATAGGGCAGCGCACATGTGCAGGAAACTGATTGATTGCTTGGCTCTGAGGTTGTTGCTGCCTTGCAATGGCAGTAAAAGCCTCAAGCGCAGGCCAGTTTCGCATTGAAATCAAGACTGGCAGGAAGGGCGACATTTGTGCCCTGCTGTGACGTGCAAAGCTTCAGTTGGGGCAAGGGCAAAGTTTAGATGTCACGAGCTCGCCAGGTTGCTTTGCTATGATGCTCCTTGGGTTGGTGGCGCAGCTGCAGAAACAGTCAGCAGTTCACAGTACTAATCGTGGTTGTTGCCAGAAAATGTTGAGAACGCAATGCTGCGCATCCATTGACAACAGAAAGCTTCCAGTTAGCTGTAAATCTGGCAGACGTTCCTGCCAGTGACGATGTGAACTCTGGAGCTGTAAGGTTGGCCTTTGTTTGCACCTGAAGGAGATGTTGGGCACTGCATGCCGATGTCGACGTTGGAGTACTGCTTTGGACGGCCGGCCATCAGGACACGCCACAGTTGCCAGGTCGAGCTCTCCGCTCGGCGCAGGCATCCGGTTGACTGAGCATTGCTCAGGGCAGAAGTACTAAAACGGGTATGGGTCCAAAATTGGACCACTAAAGGACCGCAGGTTTTAGTCCATGTTTCCATTTACAAGGGTTCCATTCTTGCTACCTGTTTTTGAGCCACAACCAAATGTCTGCATATGATATCTTGTGCGCCATATGCAGGAAAGGCAGAGCCTGAGAAGGGAGCAGACCGCTTGGACGACCAACACGGAAGCCAACGAAGCCATTCAGGTGATGCGGAGTGCCAGGGCTGACTGCAAGCAAGTGCAAGTGTGGTTGCAATTGGCATGCCAGCGGTAGATCTCGTTGAACTCTGGAAGGTGGACAAGTCTCATCTGAGTCATGGCAATGTGTCAATCAACAACACCGAGGCAGAATCTCAGAGGGTGACCCGTTGCTTCGCAGCTTTGCCCGGCCATTTGTTTGGTGCCAGCATTGTTAGGCTGCCAACGGGCCGCTCATCCCACCGGAGGCACACGACAGGGAGACGTGTGCAAGTTGGAGAGTCCTTCTGCTAGGATGAAGTTCACTCGCTGATCAGCCTTGAGGCACGGAAAAACTCATGTCAGACCCTTGTTGAAACTGCAATGTAGTGGAAACACTCAGACCCTTGTTGAAACTGCAATGTAGTCGATGCCTTCAGGCGCAACTTGATGATGAGTGCCACTGTGCCTCGGTGCTGAACGGCTCTAAAGGACCTGCAAAGGCCTCAGACAGCACCTGGACCATGGATATGTTCCTTCATAACGATAGCGGGGTATTCTGTGCTCTGAATCGCGCTTGAGGTTGATCTCGAGTGCGTGCAGAAGTGTTCCAGTCGCTTTACCAGCAATTGGAATTGCACGACTTTTGAGCAAGCTTGCTTGCATGGAAGTGTTAAGCTGCAGCAATACAGAGACGGTCTCCGAGTAGTTTGCACAAGCTAGGAGCACCGTCATTGGAAATGGGATGCACGTCTCGCGATGTGAGTCTGCAAAGAAACAGGCGCAGGCCATAGAAGGGAAAAGTTTGACACTTTCCAAAACTTTCCAGACTGCATTCCCTCCGCAGTTGAGTCTTGTGCTGGCTAGTGATCATACTGCCCCTGGCCTGTCCTCAAAATTGAAATTGTACTTGCGTGCATTTGATGCTTCGCTTTGGGACATAGATGCCTGCCCCAAGAAGCAGCAGGTAGCGAGTCTTGCAACAGTTGCGCGTGGCTTGCTGTTTGAGCGACGTGTTGACAAACTGGAATCTCCATATGATATCAAAAGAGCAAGTCATCATCTACGTACTACATGTTCCCTGGTCTCATGTCATGAGTGTTGCGGACAACTGCTGATTCGCAAGGAATGCATGTCACTTCCCAGGTGATTTGTACCACTCGGAAAGCGCGAGGCGGTGTTGCCAGTGCTCCTGTTGCTTTGGTGCAATGTATCAGCTTGGCAGTCTGCACGTTCACCTTCAAGACGGACCGCTCGTTCTATCCGATCACAATGAGCTTTGATAGCCTGGCCGATGGTAGCGTTAGCATGCCAGAGCATGCAGTGCATGGGAATCTAGAGGTGTACCGCTTGGTGACTCGCCAAGCTGCCAATGTTGCATGAGTTTGCTGGGGGGCTCATACGCCGAGCAGCACCTTTACATTTGACTCATTTGACTACGGAGACTGCATGCAGAGGGCATGTGCGACTGTGTCTCGAGCTAAAATGTATTGGTGATTTGCTGCGGATCTCCCACCACCGGCCTTAGCTTAGCTTGAGCCGTGCAATCTAGCGCTCAAGTCAGCTGCTTGCCATGCCCCACAGTTGAAGCATTGGCAAAGTAAAAGAGAGGTTCTGATTGAGGATTGGGATGATACCTAGGCGGTCTTGGTTCCAACCCCCAGGTGACTCAATGAAGTTCTGTTTGCGCACAGGAGTTTGGTCTTTCATGAGCTCGCATCGGAGCCAGTGCCAAAGGGGCCGCTCCCGCCTGGCCGGAGATTTGTTGACAGCACCCTCAGCCCGCATCACGTGGCTCCTCTGAAGGCCCCCCATGCGGTAGATCACCGCACCGCGGTGCGGTCGGCCACTGGATACGACCTATTTGGCATGTTCCAACAGATGCACTGGTTTGTTTATCCTTAAAGGATCACGGTACACGGTAAGGTTGGGCGGAAGTGGTTTGACTTGACATCTTACTTGAAAGCCATGAATGCTGGATCATCATGCTATGGGCAACACGTGGAAAGCAGCCTTTTCTGCCTTCAAACACGCAAATCATCAGGTGAGGCATGGGAATTGTTATTTTGATAGAGAGGGAGAAAGAGAGACAGGGGAAACTTGGGTCCAGAGGGGGGGGAAGATGGAGATGCTGGCATTGTCCTTGGCTCAAGAACTTGGACACTATAGACATGCAGAAATTTGTTCCAACATCTCAGACTTTGTCGCCAGACTCTTCCAGCATCACTACCCACAGCATCACTACCCGAGTTCACGGTTACTTTAGCCTGCGTTTACCATCCAAAGGGTGCCAGAATTGGACTACAAGACGCGGAAGGAAGTGAAACAATCGTGCGTGCCCGCCGGCCCATGGGTCAGATGCTTTTGGGCCTCGTTGTGAGCATTCAACTTATTCACACAAATGCCAATTCGTTTGCCTGCGACACTGCATCGTGTGCCCAGCACGACAGGTGGGAGCCCGTTAGCTTCGCCAATTCAACGGAGGTTTGTGAGCGATTGCAACTGAAGGCCCTGGAGGATTTCACGGCGATTGCTCCACGCATGTGCCGAGATTGGGCGGCAGCTGGACTTGGTCCCTGGGGCGACTGTCGAAAAACGTATTGCCAGGCCTTGGCGGACCTGGCGGGGAATCTGTCTCATGATGGCCGGAACTTGTACTACGGGGGCGACGAGTGCCGACCGCTGGTGAATTTCAACCAATCTCTCTGCGAGACGGTGTATCGTGATGCTGAGGGCTTCTGTGAGTGCTTGTGTCCCACATTGGCAAGGCTGCAAACTGCGAGCGTCGGGGACTGTGAAACGAAGATCATGTCCTTCTTGTTCCTTGGGCGAAGAGGCGTAGAGCTGGCCCAAAAGTATGGGCTCAGTGGATACTGCTCAAACTTTCTTTGTGAGTACTTTACAATGCTGGGTGAACCAGACCCTCCGTATCCCATTGCGGGGCTGCCACCTGTGTGCAAGACGCTTGATTTGCCATGGAGACTCTACAACTGCATTGACTTGCTGTCAAGAAAGCCCTACACTCCGGAACCTTGGCAGACACCATATCCGGAGGATAGCGTACTGGAATGCACGGATGGCACCAGACATCCGGTGGATATAGATCACATCGACACGTGGGAAGTGTGCACCACGCATCGATTTCGATGGCGATGCCCTCAAGACTTTCCAATTATGTGCCATGGCACCAGTTGATCTCAAGATTCAGATTGCACCTTTGGAGGGGATCGGAGCAGTCCCCCAATTCCCATTTCTTTGGTTTGTCCCTGGCTTTGGTGTCACCAACTCGCCCCTTCCTTTTAAAAACAACTGTTTGTCCAATGGTTAGACTTTTTGCTCAGGGAGTTTGGAGCAAGCCAGGTGCTACGATCCCTACAGATGCTCAGGGGACCATTGCTGCAAACAGACAGTGGAGGAGTGTCCGATGGGTGAACGGGTCGCATCCTCGATGCTTGCGCTTGAGCTTCCGGAATGGACTGGAAAATGGACACCAGATATGGAGAAAGCGCTGGGACCAGCAACCACGCTGGACCCATACCAGCAGTTTCTTCAAAATCTCAGGACGACCTCTCCTGCGCCAAGTTTTGCACAGCAGATTGCTGACTATGCTTGGGTGGGAACCGCCCTGCTCGCCACAATTGGGCTCACTTGTTCCTGCCTAGCTTGTTACTACATGGGAATGATCAACGCCAGCTACATGCGCAAAGTTGTGATTGGCCCAGCGCGGTTGCTCAACGCATACCATGCAGATCCGGTCACATTTTTCGCCTCTGGTAACTTGCCTCGGAACAAGAAGCGCGAGGCGCCGCTGCCACCCATGCGACCAGCACATGAGATCGAGGAGGAGCGCAAGGACAACGAAGCCTTTGCAGCCTTGGAAGACGCCTGGGACATCGCGACATTGAAGGGAATGCGGCATTTGGTAAATACAGCCAGAGATCCGGACCCTTTCCAAGCCAAGCTTCTGCGCGACGCCATTTCGATTGCCAGAGCTAGAGGTTTGCAGGCGATGGGATTGTAGACACTCATGCTTGGTTCGTTCGGAGACCCATTTAACGGGCTATAACGAAGGGGTTCCGATCGCTTGCACCCAAGGGCAATGCGTGTGTGGCATCCGCAAACCCATTTGTTAGAACCAGTTCAACGGGTCACCCAAATCTTTCAAAGTGCCGTCAAACGCCGAGTGTTTTGCTTTACGCCGGCTGCCTGGGAGCAGGCACGCAGCCACGTAGCCGGCCTCCTGCAGAAGGGTGAGCCGCTGGGCAGAGTTTACAGCTTTAAGTTGTGTATTTGTTGTTTGGTTCCCCTTTTGTTTCTCCGTGAAAATCAACCAAGAGGGGTTCCCCAAAACAAAGAGAGCCAGGTTATCAGTCTAGGGGTTGCGTCGGGTGCAGGTCGGTCTTGTCGAACCAAGGAGGTGGCTCAACACTTTGGAGGCGCGCTGGTTCCAGAGACGCCCACCCTTCTGGGCCATGTTAGTAGGTCGTTCGGTTGTTATCTCTTTTCATTGGGGCTATAGTAAAGCCCAAGTGTATTTCTTTGTGTCTCGCTAGCTTCACAGGCAGAGAAGGAGCTCTTGCAAGCCATAGAGGACTGCCGTTCACCAATCATTCGCCCTATATGGGTGTGTCTTAAGTAGGGGGACCCTGCAAAGTGGTGGTCTGGCCTCGGAAAAAAACACAGTCCCACAAGGACCTAAGGAGCAATTCGCTAGACTTGATGTGCGCAGGACGCACGGCCGGACCTCCGGTGGGTTGCGCAAACTAGGCCTAGAGGGGCAGAGAGGGAGGGAGGCGTAGATTGGTCAGCTGTATCTTTTCTGGCAGGTTGACGCAGCCCCCCATACTGGGAAAGTGATGGGCTCAGATGTGAAACGCCCATGAGCCACAATCGAAACCTGGGCGAAAAGAGAAGCTGCCCGATCATTAGTATGTTCGGCCTTGAAAAGTGGTTGCCCTTTGAATCGCCAGGATTTGAATCTGACTCACGCGGTATCGACAGGTATCTTTGAAATGGTCTGCAGGGCTGAGTCAAAATGGAGTCAACAGATGTGTTTTTGATACCAGCTGGGTGTCAAGCTGAGTCACTGAGTCAAAGAGTCCACCGGTTGGTTTTTGATCGGCGAGTCGAGGCACGAGGCTCTCGACATCCCATGCCTCCGAGGCCATGGCACGCCACCACCTTGAGCAAGGTCGCCGAGGGCGAGGTGCGCCCAAACTCCGCGCCAGAAGTTCAGTCAAAATGGCCGTGGGTCAACACCAATGGGATCCAATTTTGGGGTAGGTGCACCCATTTGAGTCTATTTTAGTGGGGATTGGGATGTTCACTAGGGGGTACGGGGTTTTGACCCATGGCCAAATGAGTAGTTTCTCAACGGTCCGATTATAGGAGGGACCCGGGAAAACTCGCGAAATGTCCTGCAAAAGAAAGGCAGACACGGAGAAAAAAGAAAAGACATGTCCTCTCGAACCAAAAAGTGTGTGATGGTGTTTCATGTGCTTGCTGATTGCTCTAAACCCAAGAGAATGACCAAACCAGAAGGACCCAAAATTGCTGAAAGGAGTTTTTGAGTCTGCAGTTATATTTTTCGCTGGTTCTGGGGTTTGTCAAAGTCAGAAACTTTGGTTCTACTTGGGGCTTCTGACAAATGAGACAGCACCTCAGGCTAAATGAATGAGATATATGGAGGGAACATGCTGAGTGTGTGTGTGTGTGTTTCCCCGATGTTTTTTCTGGCATGCCAACGCTCCAGTGGCAATGGGCCAATTGTGGAAAATCGGGGGTTGGGGCCGCTTTATGTGATGCCAAGGGAATCCCCTAAGTGACAATGTAATTGTGGCGGGTGGCCCACTTTGGTATCTCAGATTTCGGTTGATTTTTCAGAATGCAGTTGGCTGAGGTGCGCAAGACTGGGTGGAAGCACATCGAAGATTTGAGGGCAGCAGTGCAGGTTGGGCATGCAATCACGAGCCAGCAAGTGCTGCTTCATGTGAGGTTTTGTCAAAATGAATCCATTTAAGAACGAACATGGGGCACGCACAAAGTTTCCCATGCCCTGGGGAAGCAAGTAATTTTGACCCATGAACATTTCGTGTGAAAGCAGATGGCAGAATGGGTATGTAAATCAGATGACTAGACCAAAATAGACTTGCGCCATCAACTTTCAGTCATGCTAGCAGGATTCTTGTTCAGGTGGCAAAGAGCCAGGACATTTCTGAGTCTCACATGAACGAGGCAGGCTAGCCTGATGGGCAGAATCCACTTCCGGCACCACTTGGGATTGTTGGTCTACCAGTATTCAACTCGGGGTTCATCCATCCCAAACTGGTGCCCTTATGTGAATTTTGTAGCCATCCACAGTAGGAGCATTATGAGCCACAGTTGTTGTGTGAAGATATGGGTAGTGGGGGGACCCTCAACGTGGCGTTTTGGTTTTCCGTTTGGTTTCCTGTCAAAGCGAGGGGAAAAGGGTTCCGAGCTTTCAAAAAAGCGTACACACAGTGGGTGTGTCTCAAAAGAGAGGACCCCCTTTGGATCGATTTAAATGGAAACTGAAAGAAAACAACCTGGAGGATTTGGCCCCTCTCAGAAACACCGAATGGAGTTGTGTCAAACTAGGAGAACCCCAAAATGAGAGGTTTCCTCTTGGATTCCCCTACAAAAGACACCCCCAAACCTGCGTATTGTTGCCCCTGGTTCTTATTGACGAATCTTACCTGGTCGGATCCCTCTAAATCCTCTGTGTTTGTGCCCACAAATAGTACAACTCCCAGCTGGGATTGCAAGTTCAGAGGACTAGGTGCAAGTGCCAACCTGAAACGTCAGGCACTGGGGCGACACCCCTAGTGCAAGTTCGGAACTCGCCACATGTAAGAGGGCGTCGTCCCAGGCGGAGAGGCTCCTGGCGTCTCTGGTGGCCAGAACCCACGAGCTGCCGGCAGATCGCTGTGTACTGGATCCTGACGGAGAAGGCCACAGGGTGTCTTTTCCAAGACCAAAACATGCGCTGCTAGGATGTGGCATCTTTCACTCGATGTCACTTGTGTGTGTCTGTGTGTCTGTGTGTCTGTGTGTCTGTGTGTCTGTGTGTCTGTGTGTCTGTCTGTCTGTGTCTGTCTGTCTGTGTCTGTCTGTCTGTCTGTCTGTCTGTCTGTCTGTCTGTCTGTCTGTCTGTCTGTCTGTCTGTCTGTCTGTCTGTCTGTCTGTCTGTCTGTCTGTCTGTGTGTGTGTGTGT